GGTTGTTTTCCAGCAAGTCTATGCCGAACGCGCTGGAACGGCGTGTGCCGGAAATCAGACGGCGGTGAGGGTCAGGCAGGACGGCACCGCACTGATCCTGTGGCCGTCGGGAAAGCTGGCGGCGTCAGTGGATGCGGACGCCGTAGATGGACGGCCGCGGTATCGGCTCTTCGCCTGTGAGTAATGCGTTTCGCTTGCCAAAATGCTTTGCAATTCATCAACTCACTTTGCCGCAAACTCAGCCGACGAGTTGTAGCCATGTTCTCCTCTTAAAATGGCACGTTCAGCGCGCGATGCTGCTGCATCACTGGAAATTCCATGTGAAAGTAGTCCCGAAGTCGCATGGAAGCATGCACCCACACATTTGTATAAACCCTTGAAGCGTGGGGCTGCTGCAGATGCGTGGCACTGTGTAAGTGTCTCTTTGCGCTTTGCATTGCGCACACATCATCAGTGCCCTGAAGTAGAACTCTACGGAAGCAAGCCTTCATAAAGAGGCTGGTAATCTTGTAGCAAGATTCAACCCGTCTGAGTGATTTAGTCGGTCTGGGTTTTAAGCCTTGAATTATTGCCATTGTGCCAGTTCGCTGATGGAACGCAAAGGGACAAGCATTTTACTTCGTTGCTGCCTCGGAACGCCAGGCACCACGCAGGATCTCTGAAAGCTGATGAGGTCCAACGATTTTTTAAGTACTTGTTCAGAAGCACGATACTGCGTTCAATCTGTTCTGCTCTCCGCTAGTAGCGCTATAGCACAGATATGTCAAAAAATTGGCGTGAACTGCACTCTAAACAAACGGTGGGTAACAGCCGACAAAAACCTTGCGTTCATTGACGCAAGTGTCGCTCTCGCGCGTCCAGCGCACCGCACGTCGTCCGCTGTGGCCGCCAGCTTTCAACCCAACGGGGAGGGCTTCGCCCAAAACGACAAAGGGGAGGTGGTGCTCAGGGTGGGGAAGGGCGGCGGGTGGGGGCAGGTGCGCTCCCAGGGCGGCCAGATTGAGGTATCGAAGGGGTGGGACCACCAGGCGGGCGTCGATCCGCCGGAGACGAAAGTGGATGTGCTGCTGGGGATGGAGATGGGGATAAGGTACGACATGGAGCAGTGCCGGGCAGAGATCTTCTTCTGCTGCGGGAGTGTAAGGCAGAGGATCATTTGCGGGCCCAATCAGCCTAAGGTAGGAGAATGAGACGGAGGGATGCTGAAGATGAATCACCCCCGAAGCACGGTTAGTCAGTGGCTGAAGCTCTGATGGAATTTTCTCTTTGCCAGCACGTTGTACGTACGTAGATTGGCATGGCCACAAAAGGCCATATACGCAACTGCATCAGTCATTGTTTCAGTGCAAATACGGTGGAAGGGGCTTCTGGTACATCTGTGAACACAGTGGGAATGTTTTGTTCACGATGCGGTTGGGTGCCCTCTGATCATGATTGGACGCGGCGCCACTTCGAGAGAAAATGACTCTATTTTGTATCCAAATACAAAAATATTTGAGCGCACATATAGCAAGCACCTTTTGTCAGCCAATACATAATTTTTTTCTTCACTTGAACATCCTATCGGTTCCAAAGTAGCTCGTTTGCGCATGTTGCGGAGCACACGATGGATCCCGTTCTGCATGATAATCAGTTGCAGTTCAGAAGTTGATGCGCAGAAATATATGTATTTCATTTTTTGACCAGATGCAGGCTTTCGAAAAGTAAAAATATTCGCGAGAGGTAAGAATTACAGACAGGCGTGGACAGCTGCCGTACTAGCTTGACCCACCAGTTTGCTAAAACTTATGCTTACCTGCGTAGGATCAATGGATTGAAGCAGATGACGCCCGTGCGCCAGAGTTCTTGGAAAAATTGTTGCATAGCAATGGCGATGGCGAAAGGAGGGCCTCGAAGTGCAGAAAGCAGTCGGAGGTACCTTCGGATGGAACAAGTACAGAGGATGTAGCGCAGGCCCTCGCCCAGCTGACTGCAAACCTGCAGAAATACCTGAAGTCGGATTTCATTTGATGCTGCAGACATATGCCGACAATGGTGCCACGTTGTCCTTGAGATTCTTGCCAGAGACTATTGGCAAGGCTACTTTACATTGTGGGGGCCATGTATGTTGCTGCAAGCCAAAAAAAAAAAAAACATACCGTATTGCATCAGCTCTAGGAGTGGTTCCGCCTCCCGAGGGCTGCCAACGTGCTGTTGGATCCGCAAGTAAATCAACAGCTTCGGTGCACGGTCCAAGCATTGTGCATGTGAACGTGGCGTCCTTGTAGGCTTTTCGATAGGGTGGGTGGGGTCTGTTAGGTGCCTCATTTAGGGAAATGGGGATTGGATGGGCCGCATACGGGATAATTGAGAGACATTTATACAGATGGTCTGACCGCCATCGCTGCCAGATAGTTGATCAATTAGGGGAAGGAAGGGTGAACTGTGCTTTCGAGCTAGGACCGTTGAACGTTGGTAACAGATTTAATTTCTCACTTGCGTTTTTCTTTGCCCATTCTAACAATGGTGTGTCGGAACGTAATGGTCGCACTGCAGCAGAACGTTACATGTGGAATGATTTATGGCAACCGCCCGCTGCAGTAGCCCTGATAGCCAAGTGGCTGCGGAGGCCCCTGCAGACTTGTCCCAGGACAAGTCCTAATTATTAGACACGGCGCCGCCTTGTTTCTGGCAAGTCTGGGTACATGTTTCATCAGGGCAAAGGAAACGGGAAGGCCTGTTGGACAATACATTCGTATGACCATACAATCGTGAGTGCCCAACATTTTTATGTATATTGAACTTCTGGAACACGCCGACTTCTTCACATTATTTCCCGCCAGTGCACAAGGTTGCCCGTACCCATTTCTTCAAGGTGCCGGGACAGCGCTATGCCAGCTTTCAGCAGAACAATCGGTGCCTGCCGTACACTTCCTTCGACGCAGCTGCTTCATCAGTCCCTTGGTGCTGTTACGGCTAGAACTGATTGAGTGCTACTAATAACTGAATGCATGAAAAGATGACGAAGCACTAGGAATTGCATTAAAGATGTTGATGAACAGACTGAGTATAAAGGGCGGAATGTCTCCTGTCCTTTTGCCTCGGCTGTAAACCGTTGCCGTGGACTCGAGCGTGTAATTCCCGTTCAGGGATCGCCGCCCCTCGATCCTGCCTGCCTTCGTCAGTGCCTCATAGGTTAATGTCGACAGTTTTGCTCATTTACCCTTCGCTGAGAAGCCACAGGCACATCCGCCAGAGGTCCACCCACCCCATGCTCGTGGACCCACTCGGGCGCCACTTCCAAAAGCGGGTCTGGCCTCACTGCCTCGCGTGGGTGAGGTTCAAGAAGTGGCGCCCCGCGAGCGTCGACCCAGCTGACCACTCGGTGAGCCCGGACGGCCGACGGTCGCCGCTTGAACTGCAAAGTGTCGATGCCATGCCCAGCAGTTGGATTGCCGTTGCCTGCTTGAGCGCTTCTCCGCTGGACGTTTTTGACCACCCTGTGTCGTCTCGGTGTGGCTCTCGAGGTGATAGATACAATACAGGATCGCCAGCCTGCCCTGTGATCGCACCTCTTCTCAGTGTCCAGCAGCCCATTTTGTTTTTGCCCTGGCCACATTCAGCAAACAGTGCGGCCCCGTGCTTTGTTGCACGACATTTTTGCTTTTCTTGCCAGATCAATAATTTCAAATGGGTGTGGTTTGGCACCCTCAGGGATATGATACCTTCTTGGCGGATTGACAACTTATAATAGGTGTGGTTTGGCGCCCTTAGAGGTATGATGCGTACTTGAAGCGCTGGCGCCGCAAGAACGCGCGGCGGGAGCTTGAGGAGACGCTGCGAAGGGAGGACGATCGGGAGGCGGGGAAGCATGCCCAGGGGGGCGGCAGCATGGAATTCTTTCACGACAGCTTCGTCGAGGATGATGAGAGCGATCAGCGGCTGGGGACTTTCCAGCGGCATCGGCAGAGTGCCAAACAGAGCCAGATGAGATGGGCAGGTCCAAAGGCCCCATCAGCGGAAGATTGCTTTTTGAACAAAAGGGCGAACTTGTCGTGCCTTGAGCTTGTTTTGCTGAGCAATGGGTTTTGCGAGACGTTTTTCTTCCATAGCGCAGAAATTGGCGCAGGAATCAGAGTGCAAAGGGAATGCAACACAGACAGGGTGGCAGACAGGCTTGCGGCCGGGGGCCAATCAGTTGAAGAGTGAATGGGCCCATTGAACAGTGCGAAACGTGCAAAGCAACACGCCGGTGAGGGCACGTGTGTCCACTCAGTTCAGCACATCAGCCACTGCCAGTTTCCCCATCGGTCTGCAAGGACTTCACGGTGCTTAGCAAGGGGACGCGCAAGCCCAATGCCACGAAAAAAATTTGAAAAAATGAAAAAAAGGAGCTGAAATCAGCTTTGGAAGGTGAAGCAGGATGTGGGTTGTGGCTGTGTAGCTTGCACTGCCACTTTTAAAACTCCACAGTGGAAATCAGCAAACTCATGGTCGCTGGAGGAACTGCATCCTCTTAACACGGAATGGGACTCTTTCGCCAAAGAAGGAGAAACATGTCACATATTGTGCACCCCCTCCTGAACAAAAGGATGGTGGTACTTGTTGATACTGTGCTGATGGTTTGCACGGATTTAGTGTGCTGCCAATGTTGGCTGAGTTTCTGCTTTAGTTGATCTGGTGGAGTTTGCTTTCTTCGTGTTTTCGTGCCATTGCTTGCAGGGTGGTGTCGAAAGTCTGGTTTTCAGATGCCTGGTGTGTTTCTGAAGCTATTGAGCAAATGACAGCACATGACAGCACAAATGGCAACACTTTTTGTGAAAGGACACATGGGGCCCAAATTGTATCGGAAGTGCTCAGCCTTTGTCAGATCATCTCTATGAACCAGTCATGGCCTCGCTCTCCCTTTCATGTGCTGTGGCAGGTGTCACATGTTTGGAACACTGTTGTTGTGGGACATTGCATCAGGACACTAACAGCCTGCTCATACATCACACAGCACTAAGTTACTGTGTTGTTGATACAAACCGTACCATATCTGTTCTTTGCTTGTTATCATTTGCAATGACAGTGCTCACAATTGGGTTGCTTCCCACAGAACACCACTGGCACTGGAGGACTGGGAAGATGAACAGAAAATGGGCATCCGGGCCAACGAAATGGGAATTCGAGTTCGATAGCGGACAGGAATCGCACTCAGACGAAGACCGCACCAGTAGGTAAGGCTTGTTCCCCTCCAATACTTCAGTGTGCATTTTCATTTACAACTGGCACAGAAAGTGAATGCTGAGGTGCGCAAATTGTGCAAAACACATGAATATGGCTGCACAAGTTGTTGGGCAGTCCTGTTTTTTTCCGTAATTTGGTGTATCAAAGATTCAGTGCCTTATGGTAAGCATTAATGTCTCTCCCGGAACTGCGGCGTCACACTGTCAAGGCTTGCAGCCCCAGACAAGCGCACGTTCACTTGTGCAGCTTGCTGTTGTAGCCTGTAGTGCACAGCTTCAGCTGCGCTTTGCCTAGAGATAGGATTCTCTCACAGCAAAAGGTGGCTGTCCCATATTAAGATGAGGGATTTTGGGTCTCTGAACACAACTGCTGCAGATGCTTATGTGGGCTAAATGGTGCATCTCTGTTTACACATTTTTTTGCTATTGATGATTTTCAGCTGCTCTGTAGGCTGATAGCTTGTTGTCTCCTTCTCAAAGGCATTGCCAAGCATCATACAACGATCTGCAAGCCAGAGGCAGATCTGTTGTTGCTGTGATTTGAGGCCTCAACGGAACTGAAAGATTGGAAAGCACAAGTTTTGCAGCTGCAACGCTTCAAAGCACTGTGAGGCGCAGGACACAAGTTGCTCTTGCCAAAACCCGCTGCTGGAAATCTCGCCATGTATTGGCACTGTGCACTTGCCATCCCTCAACAAAATGATGGCATTTCTAGGGCAATGGACCATGCCAGAATTTTGAAGTTTGCCACAAGTCAGCACATACTGTTAGCTTCAGCGCATCATGCATCACATAATATTGGCACTTGCAGCTATGGAGGCGTTGTCTTCCATACTTCCTCTCATTTGTGACTTTTGGTCGCTCTGGCACCTATATTGACAGGGGTTCGGAGGGAGAATTCCGAGGCTGGGAGGAGGCTGGTCCGGGGGGCATGACATGGAACCCAGGTGAGACATTGTGCCCCTGGGACAAAATCGTTTGCCTTTTTTCACTTTGCTGAACCCCTGTACAAATTGCTCTCATTGTTTGAAGATGAGCTGACCAGCAATACTGCAGCGTCGTGTCCGTAGTCTCTGTTCCAAACTTTAATGAAACTTCGATATTTGCTATTTTATAATGACAAAGTTGTTTCGCCATTTTCAATGGGAGGGCCGGAGCTCTCACATTCCGCGAAAGAGCATTGGCGATTATTTGAATTTCTAAAGTCTGACAAATCTCCACGGAGGGGCTTGTGAGGGGTTGCAATTGAACGCACTCTTTGGAAATGGTCAACTAAGCAACGTCATATTGACTGTCAATGCCATGAACCATTGGAATTGACAGGCACATGATCGTGCGTCTGCTGTTGTTTACTGGTTACACTACCCAAACACTTCCTGAACAGCTGGCATGCACTGCTCTCTGTCATTCCTGTCTTCTTGTGTTGTACTTCTTCCGCCCCAAAATAAATTGCAGTTATGATCTATGGCCCTGAAAAACCCACTAAAACGTATCATAATTTGACTAAAATCTGCCAAAATGTTTCAATTTATGCCTAGTTTGTGCTAACAAATTCTTGAGTCAATCGGTTGAGTGGTCCATTCGTATTGCTATTTTAAATAGACTCCATTTTTCTGGAAACACCCCAGTTTTTCAAGGTGGTGCAGAAACCGCATGTTTCCGGACCCTGGAACGTGCCACCTTGCGCGCTGGCTCTCTCCAAGCGAAACGACAAGAGTTGGAGAATCGCTTTAGACTGTAGGACAGAGCAGAGATATAGAGGCAGAGGGCAGACTGCCAGTGCATTCCGAAAACATGTGATCAAGGATCTCGCCTGCAGATTCGAGACTGCGTGCCGAACAACTGAGACCGTCGGCAAGCCGTTCCGATATGTGATCAGCAACCTTGCCGGAATGAGCTTGTCCCACATATGGCAAGGGACCTGTGGATGTCCCAAGAGATGGCGGGAGCAGTTCGCAACAAGAGTTGAAAAGATTGTGGCGTGCGACCGGTGCACATTTCGGGGAATGGCGATTGGGGCAAAATACAAGCAAGATCCTCAATCATGCCTTTCGAGACGAGCTGGCGGCCTGCCCTTTGTTTTTGCGTATCTGCTCCAGCCTTCAATCTGAAACGCGTCTCTAAGTCGCGACACTTTATAAGATTGGGGGCACCACAAGGAGATATGGCCCACGACCTGAAAACGGGCTATTTCGTGGCTACTTTGAAATGTTTGACTGAGTGATATATGACGATGACACTACGGATTGCAGACTCGGCCGATCAACCCAAAAATGTTGGAGCACAAACTAGACCTAAATTGAAACATTGTGGCAATTTTTTGCGAAAATCTGATATGGTTTGGTAGGTTTTCTAGGCCCACGTTTCATAACTATAGTTTAATTTGGGACGGAAGAAGTACATTACCTGTAATTCACAATTGCCAATCTTCAAACAGCATGCCTTGTCTGTCTTGCAGCGATGTTCCAGCATCTGAGAGTTCTTGGTCTTCCAAAGAGCGCCCAGCTGGATGGCAAGAAGCTTAGAGATGCGTGAGTGCCAGCGGACGCTGTTGACTGCTCAATGCATAGTTGGCAAATGAGGAAGGCAGCTTTTCTCGCTGCGAACCATATTCCTGTTTGCTTGGAATGCACTTTCAGCAAGTCTCTGCGATAACAGCGCCTTCATTGGCAGTGGCGGCAGCAATTGCACCGCTGTTCAATTCCCTGCTGACAACAGGACGCACTGCGACCTTCCTCACGCTGAAGAGGTGTACCAAAAGGGACAGTTTGATGGGGTTGCTTGCGGGAGTTGTGATTAAATATCCCTGCATTCATGCTGGTGGTAGCAGACGGAAAGAGCAGCAGAAGGACGCCATGGGAATGCCCAAGTTGAAGGGACTACTGTTCTGCTTTGATTCAGGTTTTATCGATGCGCCTTGGCTTGGCACCCAGACAGGCACCAAGGCTCCGAGAAGGTGGGGCAGGGGCTCATTCTCTGTCCTGGTGCTTGTACAGTAATTGTCGAAATGACCTTCATAACCCTTCATGGCCTTCACCACTCCATGTCGAGGAATGAGTGGTATCGGACGTTTGTGGAGCAAGCAAGCATCCTGCTGCGAACCGGCATGGCATTTGTCTGTGTGCACCCACAAGTTGGCGAAAATCCACATTGGTTGGATGTCTGCATTATAGATGAATCACGGTATGGCACATCGTTCCCGTTGCACATATTAGACCATGTGGGCTGTTCGCATGCAGAGTATTCGCTCCTAAAAGCGTTCGCTCCTGCTCCACAGAATTCGGCGGAGGCGAAATTCAAAGCCGCCCAGGCCGCCTACCATGCGCTGAGGGCCCACGTGTCAAGTCGCTGATGACAAGCCAGCGGCAAGCGGGAACGGCAAGAGCAGACCCTGTGCACATGTAATTTGGAGGGCAGCACGAGTGTGGGCAACGAGCTGCCAGCAGTACAAACGCACAAGCAGTGACTACCATCTTTCTTCTGCCGCCGTTTTTCGCTGTCTGAGAGCATGTTAGACCTCGGAGGAGGCAAAGAGACTGCGCCCCCCGTAGCAACGTTCGTGGTACCCGCAAAAATGGCATGAGGGAGAATGCGCCGTTCTCTTTCTGGCAACCCGTATTGCTGCCCAAGTATGCACTGCGAGGAAGGCAACGGAAAGCACACCAACGCCCGTTTCTCCATCACTGCACACACTTGGAATGCAACTTCCATCGAGCTCTTGCCACACACGTGGCTGTGGCCGTCAACGAGACCGCCCGAATTTCAAGGCCACAGAGGTCGGCTACCTGACGACCTGTTGAATGGGCAGCACCCCATGATGCCTGCTGACGTCCTGCTGAACCCATTGGTTGTTGGCTGGCGCCCCGGATACGATAGACATACGAATCGATGGTGCGGCCTGCTAATCGAAGGCACAACGCCATGAAGCGTTGGTATGCCATCCAGCGGGACCACAAACAACTCCCTCTGCGAGATGCCACAATCAAATAGAGAAAATCACATTCCCTTCTCTGCCTACCGTCCTCTTGCTTCAAGCCCCATCCAACAGTGCCACAGGGCCCATCTGCTCTCCCATCCAACTTTCCACATCGGCAAGTGCACCCAACAGTGAAGGAAGAAAGTCAGGCACAAAGGCACAGTCCGCCTTCTGCACCCGCTTGTCTGCTCAACACGGACTGATTTCGTGCCACAGGCCAGGACCCACGGACGGAGCAACATCATCCACTGTCCAATGTACTGTCTAACAATTTCAACCTGGATCGGCCATCACAAACGGGTAATTGACTTGTACGCCCTTGCAGTCAGCACCCCCACCGCCAAGCAACTCCCGTCCTTGGTCAAACAATCAACGTATGGAAGCTGCGTTGCATCGCCACTGCAGCCCTGCCGTCCTGCCCATCCCTGATGCGCACCAAGGTTTACTTCTTCTCGTCATCGTCGTCGTCCTTGTCATCCTTTTGCCACGGGAATTTGAAGTCCATGCCAAAGGCGTCCCCCTCGTCACCTCGCTTCATATCCCCCAGGTTGACGACGTTGGCTGTCTGTGACATTCTGGCGCCCGCATTGAGCCCCGCACCAGTGGCATCGTCCAGGCCACCTTCGCCTATGTACACAGGATGGCAGCCAGTTCAAATCTGCTCCAGGCAGGCAAGCTTGCATGTGATCGGTATGAGAGCACGCACACATACACATGGCGCTGGTCATAGTGGCAGACACGTTTGACGCAGTGTGCTTGAAGGGCTTGGATAGTCGCAAGGCCAATGATCAATTTTTCACTAAGAAAGATAAGACAAAACACAGTCTAGGATGCTGCCATCGTCTGAAGAGGCAAATGGAACCAGGCGAGCCAGGCAATTGTAACGATTTACTCACAAGCCCAGTTACTTCTTCAGCTTCCCAAGTACACGGCCTCAACTACAGTGCGATGACTAATGTACTGTTGCTCCTTAGGCTCGGTTTATTGCATGTGGTCACTTTTTGCGCTCTGGAGCAAACTGGATTATTCATGCAACTTTCCGCACTCTTCCAGGGGCATCAACATATTTCTACCCAATCAGCCTGTGACAGCATTACACCTCAATTACCAACAAGCAAACAGATTTTTCACTTTGGACAGATTGCGCGATGGAAACCTTGTGCACCTCAACATCTATCCCATCTCTGGCGTTCCTTTACCAGTTCGGTAGCAAAAGTTTATGGAAGCATCCATTGCATCCGAAGGCCAATGTTGGAACCAACATGAATTCCTGAAAGTGATAGGCCAGCACGCGCTCATTGGGTTCCCGGTAGCTGCCTCTGGACTTGTGAACAATTGAGTACACTCATGCAGTGGGATGTAACCCACAAGCAATTTCCCAGGGCAAAATATGTCCAGATTGCCAATACTGCAATCCTGATCAGATTGTCCAAAACAAGCTCGTTTATGGAAAGGGCTGGAATGTCCTACCGTGCATGGCTTCAGCAACCCGCAGTTTCTGTGCAACGGTTTCACTGGACCTGGTTTTGCCAGGTGCCATGGATGCAGCATGGGTTTCTGAGAATCCTGCCACATTTGCCCAGCGCAGCTTCCTTGCTTCTGGTTTTAGTTGCAGCACGGGCGTATGCTTGCTATTCATACGATTGCACACAGTTCTTGGCGAATCAGTGCGAGGTGGCAATGGACAGAAATGGTGACAGTGCATGATACAGGCCAGAATCGGAACGGCACTGCCTGCCAGAAGCCCACAAAACAACCGCTAATAACAACAGGAACTCACCCTTGGGCCCCTCTTGCACGCACGAGTTGCCTATCTGGCCCTCGTTGTATTCGTACAGTGCAAGGCCCACAGGCCGCTCCAAGTACTCCGAGACGCCCTCCATGAATGCCATGAACTTGGGGCTGGCATTGAACTTGTTCAGCCTCTGGTTATCGGTGTATCGCTCCCAGAAGTGGATGGTGCCGTCCTCAAACTGGTCCGCCATCACGTCAAAACCCAAAATCCCGTTCTTCCGGTCGTTCATCTCCCCCTTGGCGTGCTCCGCGAGCTCCAGGCACATCTCCTTCACCTTCTCCATGTGCTCCTGCTTGACGATCAGAGTCTTGCTGCACACGATGTTCTTCGAATTGGACTTCTTCACCGCGGCGCACACCTGCAGCCACTTGCGCTGGTTCGCTCAGCACCCTGTCCCCTCCCCTGCGGCCTTCCCATGCATTGAGGGAAGCCAAATTATACTCAACGCCAGAAACGCAGTTACCGAATAAGTGCGCGAGGAAAGTGAGCGCGTTGTGGGATTGGGACGCATTGTAAGGCCCGTTTCCTCCCGCTGACAGTTCGCTACCTGCAGCCGAGCCCTCCGCGGTCCCGCCGGCGGCCCTTGGCATCCCGCGCGGCTCCCCAAGTCGCACCTCTGCGACCCCCAGGCGACGCGACCTCCCGTCTTGGAAGCCATCTCGGGGGCGCAGAGCTCGAGTTCGCGCCCTCCACGCGCGGTCGCAGCCTTGGGGACTCGCAGCGTGACCTGCAAGCCGCCGACGGTGGAGCGAGGGGCGACAGCACTTCTCTCTCCGAGAATATATTAGTCCTTCTGCTTATTCGCTGAGATTCGGTTCTTGTTCCGCTGACAAGGCCAGTCCCGGTTCGTGGATCAGTAGTTGGGGTTTAGGGTGTCCGAAAACAAGAACCGAATCTCAGCAAACAAGACAAGAAGGGGGAGTAATTTTATGCCCTTCTCTCCCCTGGGGATGACGTGGCCAACTTTTGGGGGCTGGAGCACGGAAAGGTCCCGACAGCGGTCTACAGATGCCGGTAGGCAAACGGGCCCAGCGCTTTTCCTGCTCTCCTCTCGCAGTCGCCTCCAGCGCGGGAGAGCCACTCGCCGTCGGTCCCCCGTGGAGGGAAAGGACGGACGGAAAGACGGCCTTCCGTCGTCGCGCGCGCATGACTTAACCAATCCACCGCTGCCGACCAAAGGTCCAGAACAGGAGAGGAGAAGCACGCCCCCAAGGGGTGGGGGACATTGGCCCGATCAGGGATGCCAGAGACTTCGGCGTCGGCGCGATGCTCCCCGGGCGGCTGCTGCCCGCCCGGCTTACGCACCCATCAATTGCAATGGCGCCGCGCGAGCCTCTCCCGCGGGCTGGCGCCCCGGCGGCGCCTCGTCACGATCAGGCGTCGGCGGGCCGCGAGGCCGGCGGGATGCGCGGATGCCGGATGGAGGGGGAACTACCCGCCGCCGGTGGCGCGGGCGCTCGAGCTGGAGGTGGCGGGAAGGGCGATCAGGATCGACGCGGGGGAGGTCGGCCGGCTGGCCAACGGCGCGGTGCTGGCCACGGACGGGGAGACGGTCGTCTACGCCACAGTCTGCTGCGATGACGAGCCGGCGGTCTCCGACTTCGCCCCCTTTCAGGTGCACTACCAGGAGAAGTTCAGTGCCGCGGGCAAGACGACCAAGGCTTACGGCAAGCGCGAGCGGCAGGCGGACCACGAGGTGCTGACATCGAGGCTGGTGGACCGCGCCCTGCGGCCATTGCTGCACCCCAGGTGGCGCAATGACACGCAGGTGCTGATTTGGGTGCTCAGCTACGACGGCGCGCACCCACCGGAGCCACTGGCCGTCCTGGCGGCGGGCTGCGCGCTGGCGGTCTCGGACATTCCCATGATGGGCACCCTGGCTGCGGTTGGGGTGGGGTGGCGGGAAGGGGGTGGGGCCATTTTGGGCCCGACGGTGGAGCAGCAGGAAGTGAGCAAGCTGGACATGGTGGTGGGGGGCACGGCGGAGGGCGTGTGCATGATCGAGGCCAGGTGCGATTTCCTGGAGGAGGGGTCGGTGAATGAGGCGGTGAGGGCCGCGGCGGTGGCGGTGGCGGGGCTGAGCGGGAAGATCGAGGGGTGGGCGTCCATGGTGGGGAAGGAGAAGCGGGGGGATTTGTTGGAGGTGCCAGAAGGGCTGAGGGTGGAGATGGAGGCTTCTGTGGGCGGTAAGCTGCGGGAGGCATTGGGGATCCCGCAGAAGGAGGCCCGAAATGTGGCCTTTGAGGCCGCCAGGAAGTCTACCTTGGAGGAATTCAGCGGCGGGGAGGGGGAGGGCAGGTACAGCACCGAGGCCGTGAGGCTGGAGTTCCAGGCCCTCGCATCGTCGCTGCTCAGGCAGAAGGTGCTGAGCGAGGGTGTGCGGGTGGATGGGCGCGGCCTGAGGGACGTCCGCCCCATCGTGTCCCGCTGCCACATACTCCCGCGGACCCACGGCAGCGCCCTCTTCACGCGTGGCGGCACCCAGGCCCTGTGTGTGACCACGTTGGGGTCTGCCCAGTCGGCGCAGAGGATCAGCACCATGCAGGAGGAAGACCTCCAACACTTTTACCTGCAGTACTTCTTCCCACCTTCCTGCGTGGGCGAGACCGGAAGGGTGCTGGGGCCGGGGCGGCGCGAGTTGGGCCACGGTCAGCTGGCCAGCAACGGCCTCCTCCCGATCGTCCCCGACCAAGATGTGTTCCCCTACACTGTGCGGGTCGAGAGCAACATCACCGAGAGCGATGGCTCGAGTTCGATGGCCACTGTGTGCAGTGCCTGCCTGTCCATGATGGATGCGGGCGTGCCCATCCTGCGGCCCGTTGCCGGCATCGCCATGGGCCTCATGGTGCACGACGGCGGCGAGGTGACAGTCTTGAGCGACATAATTGGGTTTGAGGATGGATTTGGGCACATGGACTTCAAGGTCGCTGGCGACAGGGAGGCCATAACTGCAGTTCAGATGGACATAAAAGTGCCAACAGTGTCGGTCGATACTGTAGCAGCTGTGCTGGAGCAGGCCGGGCAGGGCCGTGGGGATATACTGGCGGCGATGGCCAAGTGCGAGCCGGCCCCTAGGCAGGCCCTGTCCAAGCATGCGCCCGTGATCGCCAGGACGAAGATCGACCCCAAACTGACCGCCAGGCTGATCGGCTCTGGAGGCCGGACGATCAATCAAGTGAAGGATGTGAGTGGGGTGGACAGTGTGGACGTGGACAGCAGTGGGATGGTGGAGATCTGTGGGCCAGACCAGGACGCGGTGACCAGGGCAGAGGACATGGTGCGGGTCCTTGTGGGCACTCCGCAGATAGGGAAGATCTACCGGGGTTGCAGGGTGACGGACACCTTTCCCTTTGGGGCCTTTGTGGAGATAGTGCCTGGCAAGGACGGCCTAGTGCCGATAGGGGAGCTGGACGTGAAGCGGGTGGTCGAGACAACCGACGTGGTGGCGGTGGGCGATCTGGTGGACGTGGAGGTCCTGTCGGTTAACGATATTGGCAAGCTGGCGCTGTCCAGGAAGCGAGTGCTGCTCAAGGACAGCGGGCAGTGGGTGGAGGGGGCTTCAGAAAACGAGCCCAGGTCAGGACCGCTGACGCCCAAGGCGAGGAGGAAGTCTGGGAGGAGGTCGCGGGAGGAGAGGGAGAGGACAGACAAGGCAGAAGTGGTGGAGCTGCCGGTGCCTGTCATGGCAGCGCCCCCGACGGGCAGGGGAAAATCTTCTGGGGCGGACGGCGTGGGCAAGGATGACGGCAAAGGTCAATAGCACACGGGATTTGGCGGGCTGATGCCAGCGACGACTGCATGGCGTGCAGCGGGTGGGCATCCGCCTGTGTTCATCCCTGGCGACTCTGTGGCATGGGGTTGGGGGCCGGCCTGCCTGACGGGTGAGAAAATCTTTTGTTCGGTTGGCTTTGTACAATACATCGCTTCGAGCGTGTTTCAATTCGGAATTATGGGGTATTTGATAAGTTACAACACGCGGCATGTAACAATGCTGTCACTGGGTCCCAAACGCTCGAGTTCAGGAGAGGCTGCCCATTGCACTCCCTGCCATTCCCTTCTCTGATGGCAGCATGCACCCATCAACCTCGCCGGCAGTTCAAAAGCCAGTGGCACTCATGCTCCTGCTGAGTCATAACCAACACTGCACCAAGGAACCAATCCATCCGCATTTATCCATGGCACCCAGACGCCCAGCGCACGTTTTGGACGGGGCCAAGACCAACAAAGCGCAACACCATCACCAACGTCGCCTCTACCATTGCCTTCGTTATGATCATTTCAAAATGCAGCGCCGCTGTGCGATGGCCATCACACTCCACCAGAACCACCCCTGCCACCTCACTGCGGCGGAAATTTCAGCGCGCACGGTGCGGTGCCAAGCAGCACAGCGCAGCCAAAATCACCTCCGCTGCCATCACTTGAGCCATATGCCCTCCAACTGGACCTTCGGGGTCCAAGCCCAAGTGACAAGTTCGACATCCCCTCACGGAGCACGATCATCCCCACCTCCCCTCCTGCTAGCTACGGAGGCGTAGGAATTTCGCAACACGCCAGTCTGCTGTGTCCCTCAAGAATTCGACGCTGCCTTGGCATAGGCTCTCTGCAGCCGCCTGCGATCCAGCCCCAGCGTCGAGCCAGGCTGTCTGCATCAGGACAGCCCGCCCGCCTATGCCACCCCTTCCTGCCATGTCAACTCGATAGCCTCGTCTGACTATTGTCCATCGCATCCCTATCGGCCGCTGCTCGGGCTCCCCCGCCATCAGGTCGCTTGTCCCCAGAGGCCAAGCCGATGCGATGCTTCAGGAGGCACGAAACCGCATCGCTTATTGCTGCTTCCGCCCCCCTTCGAGGAGAAGACTTCAGGAGGGATCGCATCACGATCGGCCGCTCGTCTGCCCTCTGGCAACGCTGGTTCTGCTCCACCAGCTTCTTGTCAACTATGGCCAGGATGCCCTGTGCAGCGCCCACACGCTTGTCATTGACACCTGCCTGTGCTCAGCAGAACAGGGAAACAGCGTGAACCGCAACGAATTCTAATCGCGACCCCACCCCTGAACTGCTGGAGCTTCGCAGGCTTCTCATGCGTTGCCCATGCGGAGGTGTGCGCCGAGGCCCACATGATCTGATTGGATGGGAGTGGCACATCAACGATGCTGGAACTGAAATTCAACGATGAACACAAGGAAACAATCACAGCGTTTATGTCAGGACACCAATCAACGTGGCCATTACCAGCTCCATGTGGAATTCTCTCAGATGGCAGGGCACATGCCCAACAAGCGTTTTGGAAAAAACGTGCTGGCAAATGACCCACATCTGCTGTGATAAGAAAGGGAGATACCAAAACATAAATCCTGCAAATGGGACAAGTGCCAGGCCCACACCAGGCCCACATGTGTCAGCTTTTATGCAACAGGCCTACAGCTGCATTGGGGGGGGGGGGGGTTCCTTGGTGATCCTTCACAAACGAAGGTCCATGTGCAACTCATTCCTATTGCACTGCAAGGCTCAGGCATTCCCCAGGCATCTCTTGTCCCATAAGAGGTATTGAAAGGATTGCGAGGTGTTGCCATCGGATTATGTGCATCCCACACTTCCAAGTTTTATCTCCATGTAGCAAGCACATGGCCACACTCACATGCACAGCAACATCCATTAAAGACTATGCATGCAATGCGGAGCCCAATGGACATGTCACAAGGCGTCTTCAAAAGGTTCATCGGGGTAAGGAATGCAAACTGGGCTCTCACATACCCAACTGGGAACACAACTCACATGCCACTCAGGCTCCAGCTCATGCAGTTCATACTGCTTCGCCAGCTTCACGTGGACAGACTCATCCAAGTCAGCACAATCACCCGCGGCTCCCTTGGGGCTCAACTGCGCTGACAATGCCCTTATGTGACCAGCAGCCTTCTGCCCATTTGGTCCTTGCCCCTGTGCCTCACTCCCATGGGTCGCTTCCGTCCGCGCAGGCCGCAGGGGTACCTGCACTGGCTCGTCCACCACAGGTGTGGTGACAGCCTCCTCCACACCCCCATGGGTGCTGCTCCAATTTCTGTCATGCAACTCACTGCCACTGGGCCCCAGTTCCTGGGATTGTTGCCTGCTGCCAGGCAGCAATGGGGGCCCACAGGCCTGCTGGCCGCCGCCTGAGAGCAGCCGTGGCCTAAGGGGCTGGCGGCGCCTGGGGGTGGGGAATCTGGAGTGGGGTGGCGTCTGTAGTGGCTGGGGGTTGCCGCCACCAACCCCACTGACGAACTGCATGGTTCCAAAGCTGGAGAGCTCAGCGCTGCTCGGCCTCTGTTGCTTGTACATTGCAGTGCCCATTGGCGCATATGCGTTGGCGGCATCCCTGGCGGAGGAGGGGGCTCCACGATGGGAAGGTAATGATCCCCCAGCCAGCTGCCCATCCTCCATCTTCGATGTGCCCATGGCGAGCTCCTACAAATGGGGCAAAACTGCCTGTTGGGATAGACTGACAGCTGCCCAAACTGTGTTGACACAACTTGTGTCAAACTGTTGAACCAGGCACGGACGAACTGGACTGGGGATTCTCGCTGAAAGTAGCCTAATGTCTAGAGGGGCACCCCTTTTGCTTACAACTGTTTGATGATGCTTCTTCCTAGCGCAAAACGTGGCTCGACTGCTCTTCTATTGTTGGACAAGCAGCGGCACCAATCACTGGGGAGCAAGAAACAACAGCTCAGAGAACCCTGCAAGGCACACCACGCCACCATGGCTGCCCATCGAATGCGGCAAAGGACCCCAGCAACGAACGGGTACAAGTTTTCCAGATGCACAAGGGCAATTGGATAGATTCGCGAGGCTCGACGTTAAGTGTGTGGGCAGTGCACCACCCTGGGGAATAGCCATGCCGACAAATCCGCCCTGCCCGCGCCCTTACCCGCCGCCTCTGCCTCTCCAGCCTGCCAACGTACCACAGGGTCCCCATGGCGCCCAGGAGCGCGCCCACGGCCATGCCCACGATCGTCATCAGAGTGATCCATCCCCCCACCGAAATCCCTCCCAGTTTGCGGCAATTCGAGTCCGTCGCCACTCCCGGCACGGCCTGCATGCGAACAATCGGCAGCCCCCTGAGTGTGGACCCACGCCCTGCGTCTCACACAAGGCGCAGGGCTGTGCTCTGTCCCTGGGGGACGCATGGAATCCAAAGATTTCATTGCGGCCAGGCGGGGTACGGGGCGCCAAACTTGCCGCACGCACAACCCCACGCCAACGGTCGCTCGCTCCGCGCGAATGCGCCGCTTGCAAGCGAGCTCGGGACTCTGAACGAGTGCACGTTTGGCTCGACCCAGCGGCCGCCCCCGCGGCGCGGCACAGACGCCCACCAAGGCCGTAGCGTCGCCGGGGATGCGGACAGGTCCCGGGAAGGCGCGGCCAACAGGCGAGGCGCGCCAAAACAAGCGGCTCAGCAATTCCGGATCGCTCTTTCCGGAAGCGCCCGGCGCAGAGCGCCCTGTCGCAGGGGGTGCCGGACTGCCGACCGCGCGAGGTCTCCACACCACCGCCCCGCAACTGGGGCGCCCCCCTTCGGACGCGAGGAAGACGTGGCCGGAATCCCCCACCTCCATATCTTCAACTCCTCTTCACTCCCACCCTCCGACGCGAGCGGCCGCGCACCCAGGGGGCCTCCGCGCAGACCCCCCGGGACCATGCAGCAGCCCCGCACAGAGCCTCTTGTGGGCGACGCTCAGAGGGGCCCCAGTACTGCTAACTACTGTGGGGGGGCCGTACTCCGCGCCCGCACAGCGGGGCCCGCCACGGGGTGGCAATCATCGGCGAGGCGGGCCGCGCCCGCGGAGGCCGACTGGGTAGGGGCCAGACGGGCGGACGGGGTGCCCTCCCTCGAGGCGCGGCTCCAAGGTCGGTCACATCCCCAACACCCCGACCTCATCTCCAAAGCACGTTAAATGCGGAGCGGGATCGGGGCAATTGATCCGCGTGCCCTGGGGCGAATATTGGCGCCTGGCATGGCCGACGGGGCGCTGAGGGCGGGGGGGAGGGGACACATACTTGAAGGGAGGGCCGCGGGTGCGCGGGGCCCCTGTCTGCGCGCTTCCGGGATCCGGAGGAGGCCGTCGGCGGACGCGCGCCACGGGCGGCATCGAACTCGGTGCGGTGGGGTGCGGTGCTGCCCCGAGTGTGCAATTCGAATGGGCGACGAGCGCGGTCCCGGAAACTCCTGCCAGAATCTGATGCACGTCCCTGTCCATTTCTTGCAAGAATGGCAGCAGAAGCATGCTGCCCGATTGAATTTCAGCTGTCGCAGTTCAAGCGCCACCGCACGAAATGGGCGGCGATTAATCAATCGCAGCAGGGGGGGTCGGAAGGGGGGATCCGCGCGGTCCCCGGTAGTTAATTGTGCGACGTTTCCGGCCCGTGGCGCAGGGCGGCAGCGCCCGAGAATGGCGTCGACAGCAGCTTGCCCGCTGAGGTGGACGTCGAGGCCCAGGTGGAGGAGTTCATGAAGAAGCAGGCGGAGCTGGAGAGCGGAGGTGCGTGCAGTGTGCACGGCACGCGCCGCCATGAATCGGCTTTGAGTACCGGAATTGCGATGACGGTTGCAGGCAATTCTGCTGAGCGATGTGTGGCTATGTGTTGCTTGCAGAGGCGTTCAACAGAGTCGTGCCGCCAGACACGGTCGTTGGAGCCGAGCTTGTCGGCGACGAGGTGAGCGGTGGAGTGACTCAGTGCTTTGACGCCCTTGACGTCCTCCCTGTGGTCCTCTTTTCCATCGCTTGGTTTCCGAGTACTCTTTGAGCACCAACGGTGCCATGAGATGTTCCTGATGGGAATCCACCTTTGATTTGTTTGATCTCCTAGATTTTCCTCTTTTATTCGCTCTGCTTTGTTTCTCTGTTATCATCTTCGTTTACACCCAACTTCGGGTGTACGTTGGTGCCATGAGACAATCGCCGTTGGGAACATAGGCACAGGGGCTATTTATTGGGAGAGAATATGCCATGACTGGATTTCTTCACATGCAGTTGGCACAAAAGTTCGTCTCCGACATCAACAAAGCGCTTAATGTACTGAAGACGACGCGAGACATGAGCCTGAATGAGGTGAAGCTGACAATAACAATCGAAGGCCCAAGGGAGAGGGAGTTGAGAAGACTGGGACTCGAGGTGATGATCTTGGCATTGCAACGACTGCCTGAAACTTAAAATCAGCCTTCGAGAAACTCAGTCAAAATGGCTGATCACAACATCAGATGGACTTGGAGGGGAATTGGTGTAGAGTCAATATCCAGTTTGACTCACGTGCGATGTAGCTTGTGTGTGCATTGGTCTGGTATCCATGCGGCTGAATCCAACGTGGATTCAGTTGGACAAGTAGTGGCAATGATGAGAATCAGATCGCCAAGTCCTGAGGTAGTGCTCTGCTGACTTGATTTTCTTAATTCCTGAGCCTTCAGATTGCCAGTTTCGAGTATGGTCTGGCTGGCTGCCGAATTTGCCTTGCATACGATCATGAGCTTTGGAATGCACGTGCAGCGCTTGGAAAGCAAAGCCAGCAAAGTTTTTGCAACACCAGTTCGTTCTAACACAAGCCATTTGCTTCGACGAATTTAGGCGATGCGCATTATGTACATCAGTTGCCGCTTTCTGACTTCTGGTGCATCCGCCAATGCCCTCAACTTGAGGGCCTCCAGGTCTCACAATTTGTAGATTATCTAGGTCGCTAGCCCCAGTCGAATCAGTATCACTTTATGTGTCACACAGACCACTCGATTTTCCAAGGTGGACATGATCACCTCATTATGGTTGCCACAGAAGGTCTCTTGTAGCAGCTGCTGCGCAACTATGATGACGGAAAGATGTCGACTCAAAAGTGAGGCGATGCACTTTTGTGTGTTAGTTATCCCAATCTGAGCGAAGGTCCCCAAACACAGAGGTGTCGACTAGAATGCGAACGCCTCCTAGCAATATTGCTGCTTCTAAATGCGTGTATAGATCATTACTTCACTGCTGCTTTGCTCTTTTCCGAATTTCAAATGCTCCACGATGCAACTTGGAGCCCATGTACTTTTGAATGGCTCAGACAGCCATGAAGAGACATTAGATCATCACGTATCGGGAGCCAACTGCAGTTGGCGGTGAACTTTTTTCAGCCTTGTCTGAGCTGTCATGTGCATTCCCCTTCTCCTTTGCCCCCTTGGCATCCCTGCACCAGCAAACCTACATTTTCGTGTGTGTGTGTATTTGGGGCGCTCTTCAGTGGGCAATGTGTTTCGTTGAAAGTGCGATGGTGTTCAGTGCCAGATGGCACCCTAATCTATGAGTGCCAGTATGAGACTGGCATCGCAAGCGAGTGCAAGGGCACTGCTGTACAACATCTTACAAAGGCGATCAGAGCACATCACACATAATGTTTGTGGCTGAGTCACGTCCAGACTGTTCCAGTCCTCCACTCTGAACTGCTATGCATACTGTAGTCAAGGAACTAGATGCCACGAGGGGTGTCCCTTGTTTGTTGCTGTGCTGTGTGTGGCTTGGAGATGTGTGATCACGAACAACGGTTGCTCTCCCTCACATGCAGAAAGAGTCAGGTGCATCACGTGATGAGATGGCTGGTGTGCTGGATGAAGTCTCCAGGGGCAAGGTGCCCAACGACCGCATCGCCCTGAAGGCGCTGGCAGAGGAGATAAACGATTGGACTTCCACACTGGCACAAGTCACAGGCTCTGCAGAACCATCAGGTACGGCGTGGTGGGGAGCATCGTGGAGAATGGGACTTGGTCAACCGATCTTTATTTGGGATTGCAGATTACTCAGTGCTATCCAGTGATCAGTGGCCATTCATGGCTGGTGTAGAATTGCTGATTGAGGTTCAGCAGATTGGCATCCATGGTAGAATTGAACATCTGGGTGCAATTGGGGCGTACATGCAGCAGTGCGCACGCCCATCACTTCCTGAGAACCTGGCGTTTGCCCATGATCCATTTTCTTGCTTTGTGCTTGTTGTGATGTGCTGAACTGTTTGCATGTGCAACATTCATGCAGCACAGTTTATTCGAATTGCCCCGTGATTGGTACAGGGATCCCTGGTTTAGGGACCCCTGTTTAACGACCTGTCCAGGTTTGGCCACCCCCTGACCAGCTTGTCACCGTTCCCACAGTACTTTATTTCACTGCCACAGGCCCCAGCGCCCACGACTTCGGCGCTGCAACTAAGTCGCTGTCACCAAAAGCCAGTACGGGCCTGGTTGGCCGGTTGTAGTGTAACCCCCAACCCCGGCGGCTAGGGCATCCCGTATACCGGCGGCATGGGTACCCTTTACACCAGCTGCCTAGGGTGCCTCCCTTAGCATGGTGGCCAGGGTGCCCCCCAACACCGGCATGCAGGATAAAGAGAATCGAACCGCGCAATGGTGGGCATATCTGGTGGTGTTTGGGGAAGTGCTGACGTACTGAAAGTACTGGGGGGACCGTAGCGACCCATCTAGGTTTTGCGACCCCTCAGCCGCTTGTCACGGGGGGTCGCTAAACTGGGGCCCCGCTGTATGTGTAATTCCATGTCGCAACCAACGGGGCAAGAAATAGGACATGAACACCCCCAATAGAAACCACCAAAAAACAATGTCAGCCTACTCTGCCTTTTGGCATTGCAAAAGGACTCTGTGGTTGGTGTGTATCCACTCATCATCTGTTTCCATGCAACAGCAGTGGCTGGTAGTTTGTGGGGATCGTTCAGTTGCACGATTGTTTTTCCTGATGGGGGGTGAGTGGTGGGGCGACGTACATTCACAACATGCTGAACCGTGGCTGGTGATCATTGCTTGTACAAGACACAGGAACCTCATTGCCTGCAGTCTGTTGATGTGGCCACGTGAGATCGCGTCGCCCTTCATGGGGCTCCCTGGTGGGATGATCGCCAACAAGACCCTGGTATGGCGTGGCCTGACGCGCTGTGCCTCTTGATGATGTTGGAGTGATGAATTCCAGGTCCATGTGATGGAGTCGCCAACAATTGGAAGTTGAGCCTGTCTCGTTACATTCAGCATTGACATGTGACATGTGACCACCGTAATCCACAGGTTGTGTGCTACCATGCGCTCAATGTCCCTAACGCTTGCCTTGCTGGGTGCAGGCGTTGCACCAACAAGTGGCTGGCGAGAGGGCCAGGCTCGTCCACCCATAGGTCGAGACAAGAGCGAGGAGCCCCAGTCGCTCGTCGACATGCTGCCAGACTGGATGGGGTACAGCTACCTGTACCTCCTGTCAGCCGTGCCTTTGTTCATCGGCGTGACAATTGTTGTCATCTTGTTCGTGAATTCGCTGAAGTGATGCCCTGGCCGCGAATACAGCGGTTGGGCAGTTTTGATGGTGGGCGTGGGATTGACCGTTTTAATCTGGAGGCTCTCATATGACCAATGTTCCTTTTGCCCTCCATGTTTCATTCACCTGCCCGAGGTGTGGTAAAAGCCACCCCGGCGCCCTCTACGATGTGCGACACGGCAGAAAACTGCTGGCGCCTTTGACCGCGTGTGATCCTTGACCCAGACCGCCTGGCCGCCGATCTGCACGGTGTCCACACTGACGTCCAGACTACCACCAGCAGCGCGGTCCAATTGCTGCGCCCTCGGATGGGAGTGCGGAACACCCTACGCCACGCGATCTGCGGACAATACATCTGCCCACGCAATGACCCACAGCACAATCACCTATCTCACAACACTTTCATAAGGGCAAGTCTTACGTTTACCTCCCCTTTTGGAGGAGGCTGTGCTCCGGCTGTCTCCAAAAGCTTTTTTGGCACTATTTGGAAGCCGTGATCATTCGTATGAAACGCACATTCGCGCGGCCTCGCAGCGTCTATCAGGTTTCACCGTCCTTAGGATTTGTTGCCGAGACTGTGGATTCATTTTTTTCTCCATGACTACGGACAGCTTGAGGACCGCTGGCCCCGGATTGTGCTCATCAGGAACTTGTTGACAATCGCCTTCTGTTTTCTCCCACTGACGTGGTATTTACTGTACTTACCTGGTATTAGTGTACGTATACTGGACCCCCAAAATGAGCTGTGGATATTATGGGGGCCCATGGATACCAACGCGGTTTAGCACCCCGATCCAAGCAGTAGATAAAGAAATGTTTTGGAAAGTAGGCAACGAAATGGCCAAAAAGGCTTGAAATAATGCAAAATGCAGCGCATAGAAATGCGCGCGGCTGACAGGCCACGCTGCGTGCATTTGTAGTGGTGGAATGCACTTTGCAATCGCTGCTGCGCTGCTGGGTGCCATGGGAGCCAGTGTGGCTGCCACGGAGATGTGCGCCACGGCAAAAATTGTGATGGGGCAAGGCAATGCCAGCATGTCTGCGGACGACTCGCGGACGACTCCAGGCCTGTCACTGTGCCATGTGCGCATGGCCTGCAGTCGCTCGACAGGCAAACAGTCTCTTTCCCACCAATCAGACCAGGCGCTCAGGCTGCGAAGCTTGCAGCCGCCACATGCATCGCATCGGCACTGCAGGGTGAGCAGGTTGCAGCAGTCGTTGCACATTGAAGGCGCTCACCAAGAGTGCTGTGCAAGCAAAGACTTGCAAACTAGCTTCAAGTCCTCAAGGCGAATCCGCTGAGACCTCTTGAGCTCGCTTCCGTTGAGCTTGGGGGGGGGGGGGATACCAACACCGGGTCATGGACAGTAACATGGTTTCGATCCCTAGACTCTGGGCCCCACAGAGTGGGGTGGATACGGACAGGGCGCGGACATTAATACCAGGTAATACGGTATTCGCGCCAGCGCCCAATATTTCCTGCTTGGCAGGCCCTTGCTTGGACTGACACTCATGGGGCACCTCAAATTCGTCAAATGGCGTTCACAATGACATTGCAGCCAACGCTGTATGCACTTCCACTGCTGAAGGACGACCGACGCGCTGTGTTCACGTCCGTGTATTACGCCAGTCCCAAGATGGGAAGATTAAATACGGGAAATGTAACACGTGCTCGCCACCCCCAACACTCTTCCACAGCTTCCCCAAAACAAAGCGGAATCCTGCGGAATCAAAGCACAGGGCCCGGTGGCCCATCCACGCCTCATTTTCAGACTGCATTCTCTCGGGGACATTCGCCTTGACAAGCCACAGACGCCCCAATTCCAGCTTGAATGCAGGGATATGAATCGCCGTCAGCCACACGACATCGCTGGAATACACACTCTGCAACACCCCTTTAACGCGTTCGCAGTCTACTACATTGTGTTCCAGCGGGACAAAATATGGCCCAAATACAGTTGTCTGCCAAGGTTCACTCATTATATGGTCTGCACCCTTACCGCAAGTTTCATCCACTCGCATGCTTAACACATTTGAAATCTTCCGCAACTTCTGGCGGGAAAGCACGACACTTTGTCCGTCCGGGCTTGTTCATGTGCAAGATGCTTCAGGTTGGCTATGGAAGGCGGCTGCTACCCATCAAGTACCCCCGGGCGTAGGCTCCCCAGGACAGGAGGGTGGTGCAGACAGTGGCGTAGCTCAAGGTCAGGATCTCCCCGTCGCCCGGCCAACCCATCAGACCCTGGCTCATGCACGAAGCCACCAGCATCAGCTGGACCACGGTGTTCACCTTGCTCACAAACAGTGGCTGCACCAGCCGAACATTCCCGCTCTCCGTCTGCCCCCCCCGGCCAGCCTCGAGCAGCTCTTTCCAGGACAGACCGGGCGTTTTGGTGCGTCCAGAGTGGTGTGCGATGGTGCCTGCGACCAGGAAAAAGTCCCTGGCTATGACCGTGCCAGCCACCCATGCAGGAAGGGAGCCCTTGTACACTAGGGCAGCCACCACACAGCCGATCAGCACCTTGTCGGCGAAGGGGTCGAGGTAGGAGCCTAGCACAGACTGCTGCCCCTGGCGCTTGGCAACGTAGCCGTCCAGCCAGTCGCTTGCCTGTAGGCACAGGGAGCACGCTTGAAATCTGGACAGAGCTGTGCCCCAAGGTGTGCGCTGCATCTACAATGGATCACAGCACTCCTGGAGCTGCGGGTATTGAAAACTGGAGCATCATGTGATGGTAAGTTTCACTCAACCAACAGATTGACTGGGCAGAGAAGAGCAACGGGAGGAAGCAGGGAACGGCAGCACTGTCGATTATCAATCCACCGGCATGGGCAAGGTACGCAAACGGAATTCATCCAGCGACTCTGCTTGTGGGCTATGCCGTGGGCACCAACATGTGCCACGATGGATGGCACAATACCAGGAATAGGTGGAAGGTGCAGGTCCAAGAAGAAAAACACCTCATTGGCTTAGGGAGGAGCTTTTATGACAGCAGCTTCAACTGCTAGGTCCCAGCAAAGCACTGTTGATGCACCAACCAGCTGTGGATGCCTGCAGCGGGATATGTCTGTTTGGGAAGTTTTCGTTTAGGAGCTGGCATCTGCTATCTATCCAGGCAGTATCAGTGTGCAGTTGAGCATCTTGCGAACTGCAGAAATCTCAGTAACACAACAGGCAAGAAGCATCAGCAGGCACCAAACATGTACCCAGGCAAAGGCTGATGGAAAGCCAATGTTGTCTGCAGTTGCGCAAGCTTAACACCAGAATTAGGTCACTATTGGTTTGGCGATAATGCTTGCATGGAAATGGACGTCGCACAGTGTGCAGAATTCTGCTCAACATCGTCTTTCAGCAGCACAAGTATAGCCTGCCACTTTCTGACGAATGTGCTCGACTTATTCGTACTTACCCCAGCCACAGCAAGGCCTACGACGGCGGGCCCCCACATGTCTTCTACCACCCAGTAAGCTACCACTGGGCCAAGGAAGACCCGACTAAGAGACAGGGCGTTGGGCACGCTCCCCAGCTCCCCAAGTAGACTCATCACAGCCACAGATGGCTCCGGCAGCCGCCCCTCAGTTTTCTTTTTGGCAGCCATCTGGTGAACATGTTCCTGCAACCTTTTTAGTGCCTCTTCAGCTCCATCCTTCTTGTGCTTGTCAGAAGCCTCCTGGGAGGCACTGCGCCTGCTGCTGCTGGCACTTTCGTGGCGGGTGGCAGAGCCCATTGGATGCTGGCGGCTTGGGGCCCAGTGGAGCAGGGAAGGGAGGCACAACCCCGCCCTGATAACTGGAGATTCTGCCCACCCTTCAGTACCACCACATACGAAGGTCGGTCTAGGAACTGGGCCATTAAGTGCCCCTCCGACAGTCAGACAACATAGGAGGCCTTGATAGAAAAGCGTTGTTTTGATTGTGTGACTTTTTGGTATGTAGCCACAGACGCGTATCGAACTGGAGCGATCACCACAGGGGCAGGCCCAAACAAATGCCTGTCAATTTCTCACGTCTCCGGATTGGCACTTGTGTCATTTAGACAAGAACACGTTGGGGCCTTGAGCAAGTCGTCAAACAAGCTGACCGAGTCTGTCCCACTGGCCTTTATGCCGTGCGCGGACCCCAATTCACCCACGTCCGGCAGCCAGCCATATCTGGCACCCACTGTCCCCCACACACGTATTCCTCGAAGCCCTTGTGTTCTGGTGCCAGGATACACGTTCCCAGCACAAAAAGTCTTCGGTCGCAAGCAGGCCGGCAAGGGGCGCCACAGCAATCCCCAGCAATCGCACTCCACCTGCCCTGCGTCCCGAGAGCCACCCCAGCTTCACCTTTCCGTCACCACCGCTCGCGCTTGCCACAAACGGAAGGAGCGGCGAATGAGCCACTGATCAGCAAACGAACGCTTCGGACGCGCACGTACGCCCACGCAAACTGCAACAGATCCGCCTCGCAGAGTTATGGCGACCACAATCCGCCATCCTCACAACACCAGCGACTTCAGGCCAGAATCCACCAAATCAAAGAAACAACTCACCTTCAGGCGCCACAGTTGCGGTCGCCTGCCCCACTCGCCCCGGCCCTTCGGGTCCGCACTGGCCGGCCGCCCCGCATTCCACCCCCCGCTCCGCTCCCACCGGCCACATGGCCCCCCATTCGGCCCCTGCAACCGCCCCGGACAGTGCGCATCCCCGCACCCCCCTGCGCGCCCCGGCCGCCAGCAGCGCCAGGCGGGTCAGGCATCTTCCCGATGCCGCCATCACTCGCTGCTCCGCCCCTTGTACCCCCGCCGTCGCATCAGCGAGGCGAAGCACAGGCGGTGGGCGATGACGACCGCGGGCAGGAACAGGAAGACGGCTGCGACGGCGACGTAGACGTCGTACACGGGCATGGGCAGCTCCACGTCCAGGAGGGGGAGGCGGTGGGACCCGTCGGCGCCGTCCGCCATGGCCGCCTTGCGCGGGGTGGCGCGGCGGAGGGTGCTTTTTTGCTTGCTGGAAAACCATCGGAATGTTTGGCGAGGGATTGAAAATGAGCGAAATGAATGAACAATTCATGCTATATACATAGGGCGAAATGGGGAGCTGATGCCGGCCTCCTCGCCTTGATATGGAAGACTTCCTGATGGCGATCACGAAATGAATGAACCAGTTGTCGCCTTCGGCTCGATCGGCAAATTGGAATCAAAACCGATGCGGACTTACACCATTTGATGTCTGTGGAAGGCGGGCAACGACGAATTGAAGCGCCTCAGGGTGTTCTGGAGTTGCGGGCCGCATGTGATGAGCTTGTCCTGAAGACGGGATGCGTGTGCTCCTGCGTTGCTGTGCACGTGCCTGCCGCAGCGCTCCCCGAAGCCACTCTTGTATCCTACGTCATAGCAACGGCAAGTTGTTTTCTGGCTTCTGTGCCCGATCGGTTGCTTGCAAACGGGCTTTGTTCGGCGTGTTACTGTCGATAATACCTTCAGGGAAGTCGGGATCACGTGGATTCTGGAATTCATAGGTGCCAATCCCTGGGTTTTCAATGAACGAATCGTCGACATTGCTTTCTACTGCAATAGGACACTGTGGCGTAGCAGCGACCTCCTTGTCTTGATATGAAACAGTTATGCTCTTTGACTCCAAAACCATTCTCAGATCTCTCTGTTACCCACATGCGGCGCCAGGGCCGCGATCGCGACATCCCTGTGCTCGAGTCACAAGCATTGCGAACATGCTGTGCCTTGGCAACGGCTGGAGAGCATTTTCGGGGATGCCAACCAATAGGCCCTTTCTTCTCCCAGGAAGCCCATCTACAGCGCATCTACGTCATGGCCAAGCGTGTTGGGGCCAGAATCGGGGAGGTGAACGCCAATGGGCAACAGAGGGACCCGACCACCACCTCGTGGGCTTGACATGCAGTATTTGTTGCGTGCAGCCACAGCAACGGCAAAAAAACAGCCGCGGCCCCCGCCAAGGGCCACTCTCCGACACCAGCCCTCACCCCGACAATCGATGATCATCAAGTCTGGATGCCCCGCAGCAAGGATTGATGACATCAAAACCGTCCCCATACAGCACACTGTTCCCAACGCAGACCGCGCTTGCGCAGACGCCGACGAAGATAGAAACGGGCAAGGATCGGGCGGTTTTTGCGTTAGGTTTGGGCGCCTGGGGGTCTGGGTTTTCGGTATATGCGGGCGCGGTTTCCGTGTGGGTGGTGCGCACCGAGAGCGGCCTCCTAACCGGGCCCGCCGCTGCCGGGCCCAAAGTCAACCCCAACTTTGACCGGTCAACGCAAATCCCAACCCCCCGCAAACAAACACCCGAAAGACCGCCACGCAAAACCCCACCCCTGCTATCCGCAACGCACGAAGCGGCCGTGTCCGTGACCCCCCCAAATTCATCAGCCCCTTTCCCAAGGCGGCCGGCGGCTGCCTCGGGAATCCGGCCGGGCCCCGGGGCCCGCCGGGCCGATCGCCGGCGCCGCCGCTGGGCGCGTACTTAAGCCCAGCGACCCCCGCTTTCCCCTTTGGCCCAGAAACGCGCCAGCCGCGACCAGATACGCGCGCGCCCGACGGCAAACGAACACCCTCCCACCCCTCCCGACGCCCGCAGCGCGGAGAGGCCTCCCGCCGGGCGCCGCGCGCCATGGCGCTGCTGCAGAGCGTCGCCGAGCCACCGCAGTACTCGGGATACAAGCTGCTGGCCGAGCCGCCCGCACGAATCCTGGAGGGCAAGGACAATGGGGTGCCACTGGTGAGCCCCCCCTTTCCAAACCCGGGACCACGCCCGCCAGGACACATTCGAGATGCGCACGGCAGCGGTTCCTCCCCGACGTTGTTCCTGCGGATGGAATGGCGTCATGGGGTCGTCAGGCGCCATCGACCCAACGGGAGCGCCCTTCGGTCACACCTGAACAGCGCCTCGCCGGGCCCCCTCCCGATCATGGGATCGGACCCCTCCCAGCGACGATGATTGGGCGCTGTGTTTCGGGGCCGCCCCTGATGTCGGCGTTCCCGCATGGCTCGGGCGGCAAGGTGGGGAATGGAAGATCATTTGCCCGCCTGGGTGGATTGGATCGCGGCCGGACGTCGAAAGAAAGACGCCCCGCCGCGGGTGCGCGGCTGTTTCATTGCATGGCGGCTCCTACCCGCCCAGTCGACGGCCGCCCGGCGCCACCCACCCGCCCGCATTCCATCCACATTCGACCGCTGGTGCGAAGGCCGGCATCGCACAGAAGGACGCGGCGACGCTTCCCGCGCGCCATACATCTGGCGGCGCCGAACCCGGCGTCCTGTTTTCTCCTGGTATCCTGCGCGCACCCCCGGTGCATGCAGGTGCGGAGCTGTGTGTCCGCTGCCGAACCGCACGCCGATCGGCGCCAGCCTCTTCCGCCTAGTACCAAGCCGTCCGGTCAATCGTCCCGGCGGATGCCGTCCGCCTCTCCCGCCACCCCTCTGGGCATCAGAGGCGCCACGGTGCTGCTCGATACGCGTTGAGCCCGCCCCGCCCATGCCCATCCGCACCTCAGCCTGCCCTCGCCAGCCCCGCTCTCGCCAGGGCACCGCCCCTGCTCTCTCACGCCCATGATTCGACGCGATTGCTCGTGGGTCTTCCAGCGAGATTGCAAGGCATCAAGGACGGTGCGCGTCCAAGCATGCGCAGGCGCCGCCACTGCGCATTGGTAGTCGCCTCCGGGCGCACGCCAAATGAAGCGCGACGCTCGGTGGAGCAAGTACAACTCGACAAGCGCGCCCCGCCATCTCTGGACGCCCCAGCGAGAGGCGCCAGCCGCGACGCACTCCCACCCACGCATTGGTTTGTCGAACAGGCGCTCCCGCCCCCACGGGCGCCCAACCCCTTGTCCGCATGCCCCTCCCTCCCACCCCGTGATCCCCCTCCCTCATTTCCTTGCGCACAGCCCCTGGCCGACCTCCACTTCGACAAGGAGAACGACCTGCCGGGCCCCCTGGCCCGGCCCCTCCCCAGGCGGTCCATCCACACATCGGCCTCTCGCGCCGCGGCCCTACAGCCCCTGTCCCCAGAGCGATGCGCGGCCCTGGGCGTCGTGCTGGACAGCCCGGACGACGATTCGGTGGATGATGATTGGCCGATGATCGATGGCAGCGGCGGCAGCGGGGAGCGGTGGGTGGACGCTGAAGGGGGGGGCGCGGCCGGAGTGGGGCGGGGGGCGGAGGCGGGAGGCGAGGAGGCGCCGGGACACGTGGACGTGAGGCCGGGCGTCGCGGGGGACGTCGCGGGCGCGGGCGCCTGCACCGGCCTGTCCGGAATACTGAAGATGATCAAGGTTGGAGTCCTCGCTTGCAGTAATCATCATCGCCATGCAATTTCACGTGAGAAGCAGGCAGGTGGCCAATCTGGAGGCGCAGTCAATCAATGGATCGATCAGTCGATCGATCAATCATTGATTAATTGAGGGCAAATTGCATGTCAAGCGTTAAGTCAATCAGGGCACGTCGTGTGGCAAGGCGAGGGCAAGTCGTCAGCTTTCGGTTTCAGATGACGTTTTCTTCAATGAGAACCAAAGGCATTCGCCGCAATCCAACCACTAGCCAATCAATCCGCCGGCCAACGGATCTGCCAATAATTCAGGATCTCACACATTTTTCCGCGCGCCTGTACTTTCACACGACACCCCAAGCACAACATTCACTGTTCGCGCTCAGTAGCCGGCACGCCAGATCGACGCCCGAGTCTAGTCTGTATGTAGACATGCGTGTCGCCCGTGGTTCCATCGACGACGTCCACCCTCCCACATGCCATCATCCTGCCAACAAAAGCACTGCACGATACATAAGCCGGAATTGCACTTGTCTGTACACCACCGGCATCATCTGAAGAGAAGGCGGAATTCTGCACGAAGGGGGACACCCGGAATCAGCAATTGTACAAAAGTCGTCATCGGTCAGAAGCAAGCCACGAAAGCGCGGAGCGCCGGCAGTCCATTTAATTGCACTCGCAAGATCAGGCCCGGCGGAGAGGTGCCCTTGGTCAGGATCGCCTCCAGGGCGACCACGGCCCTGTTTCCATTCGCAACGTTTGCCTGTTGGTGCCTGCGCATGTCGCAAAGAATCTCTGAACCGGAAGCACCGACAACGGGCTTGAGCTGCAACGCGCGCTGAAGACGCACGCGTCTTGAAATGCACGTGCTTTTCCAGAAAATTAAGACAACGCCACCCCCAGTTTTCACGCAACGCACAGCCCTGACGCATCTTTCGCCGGCGCTCGAGCAGGGTGCACTCAAGAGATTCTCCATCTGAGAGGAGCACCGGCACGAGTGTTGGCGACCAAGAGCAGAATGGGGGTCGCCCCGGCTCAGAGGCTCTTCATGAGGGAACCCATTGCAGGCGACTGGGGCGTCGATCATGCGGAGACCCACCAGAGGAACACAACGCCGGCTTGCCTCTCACGTGCACGAATGATAGTTGAGGGTTTGGTGGGGGCGCAAGTGGGGAGGGGCGCAGTTCCTTGCAGAAAGGCGTCGCAGGGAGGCGTAGATGCAGGTGGCCATGGCCTGGGTGCAGCGGACGGGGAGTTCCGGGGCTAGGGCCGCGGATGAGTAGAGAGTGACGGCCGACAGCGGTTCGCGGGGGCAGCGGGACGGCGGGGGAAGATGTTTTGTAACGGGGCGGCATGCGGTGTCTTGCCAAATCCGAGTATCGGCAAAAAATGGGAGTGTCCGTGTTGGCTGGCTGCGCCTCAGAGCTCCGCCCACACCATGCGCGGGGCCCACCTATTGGACTGCAATGCCCAGTTGAGCGTCAATTGGGAGCCCAAAATATCCGCACCAAAATATCCTGGTGCGCACCTGCGGAATGAAAGGGTCGTGGGCAAAATCTACAGTTCAAAACCGCAGATATCGCAGATGTCGCCGGCCCGTTGTCAATGGCTGCGCCATCAAAGACCATCGCCATGCACCGGGAGATTAGCCGGTAGGAAGTAGAACCCCATCGCTGGCGCACATTAAATTGGGTCTTGCTCAAATTACTGCAGAATGCTAGCACTGCAACTGGCCGCTTATGCTGAGCTCTACGTTATCGCCTATGTCTCTACTGCATGGGGTTGCCACCAGAGACAACAGTATGCCACCGCAGCATCACCATCATCAAAATCCATGGATTGCATTTGTCACAAAATAACAAAACACAGCCCTTGCACCTGGTAGCCGATGATGGGCGTGAAAACCACCGCAGTATGCCAACGGGTCAAATGTACAAGAAAGAAAAATCGAAAGCATTAGTCAAATTCATTTTGCAAAAGAGAATTTGTCGAAAGCCATCATGTTGAGCAAGTTCCTTTCACACGTCAACTATTGAAGAAAAGGCGGCCACAGACGATTTGAAAAGAGCTGGGTCTCACACATCATGGAGCACAAGGGGTTTGGTACATGTTGCCCCATTTGCAAAGTGGCAAACACAAAAATTGGCAATCTGCAAGTGGGGATCGGGTGATCGCGGTCATCGCGCCCGTCACCCTGGATGCTTCCGTTTCAAATGTGACGGCCGCACATCACATCTTTTTGGTGAGCAGTCACACTCCACTCCAGAAGACACCCGTTCTTTGGGACCCATGCACGAGCCGACTGGCTGACAACTCGTGGCCATGGCGCTTCCCGTTAAGGGAGTAACGAACGTTCGTTACTCCATTGCCATGCAGGAATCCTTATTCCGCTTTGGCCATTGTGCTCCTGAAGCTGTGCTGCGATGTGGAGGCTCGCAACCATGGAGAAGCCGCAGGGGCATTGGACAATCCACATGAATGTGAGAGTGCCTGGAGGTCTCGGAGACTAGTTGGTCGCCGTTACATTGTCACCCACCATTCGTGGGAGATGGTGACCCGGGGTGGCCCGCCAAAGCCATGCATGCACGCGGAAGTCAATTTAGCTGATTGTCCTAGTGGGATAGTCCAAATAAAACCTCCAAGATTGGGAATTGCTCTTGCGCAAAAAGGCAATCCATGCGGATGAATCCCAAGCGCTGAACAGCAGTGCGTCATGGATTCAAGGCGAAGGAGGCCAGGGATGCCATTGCACAGCATGGGTGGCGCAGTGCTCCTCCAAGTCCTAATCGGTCTGGGCGGCAGAACAAGCGACGACGGGTCCCAACTCCATAAGCAACAGCCTTTCGTGCAAAATGTCGTTAGTGAGCCAATAGCACAATTAGTGTGCAACATCTTGATTTCCAAGCAAATTGTAAAAACTATTGTGTTCAATATGTCCAATCGACCCATAATGCAATAAACATATTCAAAATCAAAGAAAAACATGTTTTGAAGTTGCGCAACATTACCATTTCTACACTTGTGTAATATCCACTAACAACATTTTGCACGAAAAGGTGTTAAGCGCCCAAGCCAGGAAATCAACATGCAAAGCTTGACATCTTGGAAGTAAAGTGCGGCGTGGAGGAGGGGCAACGGTGGCCTTGCAATGGAACATGGAAATATGCACACATTCGCGCTGGGTTAAGGCGCCGTCCGTAGTCCATTTGTCAGGATGACGCCCAGAGTGCGAGAGAGATTGGCTGCCAGACCAGCGCACTGAGGGAACAGCGCAATGCCAACGGCTAACCTCACTTATTGAAACTTTCCATGAAAGGCGCACCTCCAAGTTGCAAGGGCCTGCTGCACGTGCAGCAGGCCCTTGCGACTTGCATGCAATACCGGGCATGTGCACATCCCAACATGTGCAATGCCAGAGGCGTGGGGAGAACTCTAGCGCGGCAACTGTTCTGTGGAGGTGGAAGGTGCTTCTGCGGAAGGTTCGGGCACGTGGTGCTGAAAAGCTAAGATGTGTTATAATGAGGGAAAGAGACCGATCACAAAAGGGCACCCCCTCCTAAGCAAGTGTATGCGAGACTCTTTCCCATGCTGTTGAAAGATGATATAGAAAATCTGATGTGAAATAATATGCACGCTAGGCAGGCAACACATGCACTCAGGGGGCCCATATGTAAAGGCGGTGTTGGGAAGGGGTGCGCAGGGCTGTACTGTGAAGGGACGGCTCTGTAACAGTCCATGACAGGCTTGTTGTCCGCATGGGCAGCTCCTTGACGCGAAGTGCATCTGGGACACTCGTCACGCCTCCAGTTGAGATAAACACGACAGCTGTGGGCGATGGCAGAGATGATGACGAATCGCGGCCTGCGAGGGGATGGTCGTCGATGGGCCGTCGTGGCTGAGAAGATTTGGACTATCGAAACCTGCTGGGACCCAAGCGATGGCCAGCGGGCTGCGGAAATCTGCAAATCATTCCAGGTTCGGTTGAGAAATCCAACCCTGGAGGCGACGGTGCAGACCACGAAGATGTCGAATGTCTACACCAAGCCAAGCACTGGCATCTTGCGTTGATTAAACGGTGAAGAGCACGTGTTTGCGTTGCTGAATGTGTCTGGGGCGAGTGCACGGCGAGTACTACCTCGAACCGGTCATTAAAATACAGTTTGGGGCAGCTGCGGCCCAGGTGGCTACGTTATGCTCAACACCATCTGTGGCCTTCAGTCCTTCCATCCTCTCACCAGAACCTGCGGTTCATTTCGAATGGCCAGTATCCGTCTAACAGCAAAGTCGCAATGGTCCAGGAGCTCCGTCAGAAAGCGCCACCGAACAATATTCGCCATCTCCAGAGATGCCCGATCTCCCCAGGTTGCTCCCAAAGCCTGACAAATCAATCCCACGTATCCACCTTGACAAATCCTCGGGTCCAGGCACTACTGCTGGGCTGGCTTCGCCTGTTGGAGCCATTTGGACACCACCGGAAGCAGGTCCCTTGCATTGTAGCTCAGCATTCCGAGCACCAATAGGGCGGTGCCAAAGAGGAAGGTAGGTCCCAACGTACCAGAAGAGCCCTGTCCACCCACGAAACGCGAGAGATCAACGATGTCTTGAAATTACTAACAGTTCACGCACAGCGCCCATACAAGTAACGCACAAGGGAGCATGACAGCTGAGCCAGGTTGACCAGGAAGTATCTGTACGTGTGGGGGAGAGTGCTTTCACCAACACAAGGACGCCGCTGGATATATTCTCCTGGATCCCACTCCACCAGTGAAAGACAGGCCAAATACACGGTTTTGAAAATCATTTACCTTGTAACACAATTGAAACTCGTGTAACATAGTGTGAAAATCATGTATATATCATGTACTTATCGTATAAAAATGGGACACGTGGAAACCGCGTAGTAAGTATTGAGTGAATGCACATGATTTTGACACGTTTGGACGCGTTGTTACACGATTTACACACGCTTCGAAACCGTGTATTTTGGCCGATGTTTTACTTGTGCTCAAGGCATTGAAGGACGTGGCACGGGAGGGGACCAAACGCATTCGCTGCACTGCAGTCGCGGATTCGTAACCCAGGCGCGGGTTTGAAAGACCGATGGGTTGAACATGAGCGCGTGCGAACCAAAGAGGCGAAAGCTTGCACTAGGCGAACTGGAGACAGCATCTGCGCATTCCATTCCTGTAGGAGCGTCTAATTAGGAAGCCTACCACCGGTGAAGATTGATGCAAGAACACGGCCAACTTGAAAGTGACCGTGAAGGTGGCACGACATGGTTCCACTTCACATGTTATGCAACATTCAATGCACCACTTTCAACGACTGACTACAATCAAGACTCGTACACGTTCACTAACAACACTATACGCTATGTCCATGATACTTCTACCAAAAAACACATGTGCAATACCAACTAGATTCGGACATTACGACGTAGTACAATACACACTATTTCCTCTGTCCCATGCTAATTGTCCTCCGTGACTTTGCCCCCTTGTTTCTTCGTCACAGAAACTTCCATTCTCAGTTGAATTTGTCTCAAGCTATGCCCATGAGCTTGAAGTACATAGCAAAACATCATGCCCATCCATTGAGTATAGTGCGTGGCAGCACGAGGAGGGCAAAGATTTCCAGCACCTTCAATGCTGCGATGACGGCCCTCTAAGCTGGGGACTTAAGAGACGGGTGAGCATGTTTGGGCAGCGCTGTGACAGCTGCCGGATGCCGCCCTTCATCACAGTGGCAGTAACGCATTCGAAAGCCGTGGGTCATCCAGGGGAAGCTGAATTTGATTGCATGTGTTTTGGACACAGCGAAGGCACTTCGCAGACCGTCACAGGGATCAGGGCTGACTGCCTTTCTTGAAAACTACTTCGAAGTATTAGTCAGGGGTTTTGGAATTCGATCTGTCCGATTCGGGCATCCTTTCACCATCAAAATGTCGTATCTGCAACGATACTAATCTTTCACATAGAAGATTATGAATACGGGACAGATGAAGTATGAGCTTAGGTGCACATATCCACCTGTTGCTGATTGCTGAGAAAATCTGGCGTTTGGTATTTTTTGGCCACTGGGCTGTAGTGGGTCTGAGTCATAGTTTCGTACATCGCACCCAAACGACAGCCGCCGTGAAGGACTGCTTCACAGCGCCAAGGCCCTGTCCACCCACAGCGACGCGCTCCCGGGTGTCACTGATACACAACGCTGAACAGCATAGCGACACACGCTCATCGCACTTTGCAACGATCGTGTTTATGAGCAGCATGGAGCATAGGCGATGCGGGCACAACCTTGTGCTGACCACGCTGTTTGCCACCATAACCTAAACTCAAAAACATTTGGTGTGTTACGCAGATCCGCGCAGGTGTTTTGGATATCGTTCCGTCGTCCATTCGTTGTCAGCTTCGCATTGTCGTAAGACATGACAGGCAGGGAAGTCTCACGACAATCATTTTTGGCACCGGCCGCTGCTCGCGTTTACCACTGCTCAATGCCTCGAACAACATGCCCCACTCACCAGCAGGGGTGAGCAAGCTGGCCCATCCAACGTAAGCAGCTTCCTCGTTAGGATGCACAAGAAATTCTCCAGGCGGTGACATAACATTAAATAGCATAGAGCATTGTGCATCTACGTGTCTTGTTGCACCTATCCTATCAGATGAAATGCGTCTGTATACCCGCTAGGTACTACCTGCAAGGCAGTGAAGGGTTGGCTACGGATACTGTGGCTGCAATGCCTTGGTTGCAATCTTCCCATAACGCCCACTGCTTTCCTTGAGCCAAATAGTAGAGCAAGCTGCCGACCTCTCCCTTGCAATGATACGTGTTCATACTTCGCTGATGACGGGCTGCAGGACAACAGAAACACCATGGCATCTGAAGGATAGAAACAGCAGCTCACCAGCAAAGGCAGGTTGAACGTGAAGGCGAAGACAGTGAGAGGGATGATTCCCGCCGCCCCCAGCACCGTCAGGACGCCGCCGAAGCTCCGCAGCACGTACAGCGCCACAATGTTGAACGCCAGGTTGGTCACGACGTACAAGATGGGCAGCAGGGGCGCACCCGTGCAGTCGCTCCCACAGCTGGGAGTGGAGCCCAGGAAGCACTTGCCGCCATCCAGCAGGTACTGGGGCAGGTCAGCGAGGCGTATGTTGCGAAGTGATGTCAGGATTGGCAGCGAGAGGCACACCCAGAGGGCCTGCAACACGCCTCACACCAATGAATCAAGTTTTATACTCAATATTGGCAATGCAACTATCGTGCAATTGCAATTCCTTAGGTTACATTGCCTGCAAGGCAACTGAACGCCTCCTTTGCACCTGCAAAGTTATGTCCAACCACTCCTGTTTTCATGTACACATGTGCCAGCTCAGATGCAATACCAACATGGGCATGTGGCACCTCCAAATCAAGCAGCATTTGGTGCCTTACTGGTCTGACAAGGGTGGGATGGACAGGGAGTCCACATGGGATACCTATAAAATGCATGTGTGCTGGCCACCTTCGGGACATCCTGTGGGACAACAGTCCTAAGGGACCAGAGCACATATGGCCACTGTCAACGGCTGTTTTGGAATCTTATGCTTGGCACAATGGAGCAACTGAGCTTGGAACAATCCATGCAGTAAAGCCAGCCTTTGCTGAACGCTGGTGCATCTCCCCTGATAGTGAAAGCCAAAGAGGGGCATCCCTGTTATAAACTTCCACGCCAGAGCAATCGGAAAAAGCACAAGATTTTAATACACTTCTGCGGGTTGGTGGCATTGACTGCTGGGCTTGCAATCTGTTACATGTGTATCACCTGTCACACTCTAAGGCAGCTGCTGCATAGGATTTTGAAAAAAAGGGCTGCCAAACGATTGTGGCGCTTTGTTTCTGAACTGGAACCCTGGGCCTCAGCCCCATTGCCCAGGGGCAGGCGATGTGGATAGACACAGATGTAAACAAACACAGAGTAGTAGTTAGCATTCTTTGATTCCAAATGTGATGGCATATTTGGTAGCCAGCGAAACAAAAAAGAAGCCAAATCATGTGTCACAGCACAAACAATATCAAACACATTGCCCAATTGCTTTCGTCAACCTTTGAAAAACATGGATAGTAACACGCATGGTACAAACGCATGACATGGATTGCTGCACCTGCATGAGAGACCCAAATGAATTCACAACAAACAAATCCAGCTCCTTTCCCTTCAGGTTCTTTCTGGCATCAGCAAAAATCTGCTCCTTGAATATGATCGCAAGGGATGGCAAAGAGAAGGCCAAGGTGTACAAAGCAACGTAAAAGGGGTCGGCAGACATCGAGCTCCCAGCTGAGCTGCCCATGGAAGCCAAGGCAGCCATGCTTGCGCCAACCCCAACCAGGCCCGCTCCCAGCACCTTCTCTGGACCAAATCTGCATCAATCATCAGAGTAAGCGAAGCAAAGCGATTAGGTTGATTTTGTCAGTCCAACATCCATCATGACAGCCAATTTGATCACAATGAGGTGACGCCTCCATCCAAATTCTGGGGGCTTTCAGCACTGCAACAAAAAACCCAATTCCCCGAGCAGTCTGGTGCAATGTGTGGAGGCTGTTGGCAGAGAATAGCAATAACCAGCCCACTGTGCCAGCCGAGATGGAGGAAGTGCCAATACTGCAACTGAGTATCAAACCAGAGTCCATCAATCAAACATTCCCCCACAAACACTGCTGCAGCTGCTGATGTCTTGCCTCTGTCTATGTGTACATCAATACCCTGCAACTATCCTTGGCAATGTCGCTGCCACTGTCAAAGCCAGCTGTCGTCATCGAAGAAGGTCAAGCCCCTTGAGGGCACAAGCACTTTCTGCTTGCCACGGACATGTCCAAACAGATATAACCATCAGCAAAAGGGGAAATCCATCACAAGCCCCTCCGCATCTGCACATAGGGAAACAGCAGCACCCTGACCACCACCTATCACTTGTGGACTCATTCCATGCAGGCAACGTGCACACAGCAGGATTGCCCCAATCGAAGAGCTCCATGGCCAAGTGCGAATGCCAGATCTTTGCACACAATATCACGTTGTTACCAACCTTTGGCCCAGGAGCACCGCAGACCACAAGAATTGCCACACGATCAACGATTGGCCGAGGATGGGTAACAGGACGCCGGGCAGCTGTGCTGCAGCGATCAAAGCCAGCAACTGCGAGGCTGCCTCAAAGAAGCCGATGAAAACAAAACGTTTTTTCGGAACTGACAGCATTTCAGCAGTGACAGCACCTGTCCTGGAGGAACACAGGCCAACGGACTGTCAAAAGCGATATCTTGAATTAGCAAGAAAGGTGAATCCATGACATGATCGTTTGGGGCAATGGGATCTGAGCGGTGGCTGTCCTTGTCTGGTATAAATGACTGAAACACAGGCACCAGATGTTGTTCTAGCCGCCAATTTTTGACAGATACATTGTGCCGCACGAACGACAGAGCCAGGTACTCCTGGATATGAAGTGTGTGCAGCCCCACTTTATACCACACTGGTGCCATCCGCTTATCCCAATGCTGAGTCACAAAGTTGGATCGCATGATGTGGCTTAACTTGCATTCTCCTTGGCAGGGGCCTCGGGTCCAACACTACCATGTGCCAGATGCACAGGTGCACTCAGGCACAATCCACACAACAAAGTTGGCAAGGCGTCACTAGCAAAAGATTGCAGTGACTGAACTGGTCCGCTGAGATTGTTAATCAATCAAGATACAGATCGCAACACCTTTTGACAACAATGTCTGTTATGCTGTGGTCTGTGTAGCGCCTAGTCAGCACACTGTGAAGCACAGAAAGCCTTGCATGCACCTTGGAATGTTGTGGTACCTTTGCTCAAACAGGCACTCCTCCATATCTCATTTCTGCACATTGTCCTATGTTGTGCGCTTTCTTGCTATGCTCTAGACTTCCACATCATCCTTTGCAGCATGATAAGTAGTGTTGCAAATGTTTCAAATAAGAAAAGGAATGTTAATTGAATGGCGTATTTGCCTTTGCTACGACGATTGATCACATAGAAACAGTGTTTTGTCTCCACATCAGCACCCCCAAAGAAAGGAAACATCCAGCATATGGACAGGGTGGCATACCTTGTGCGAGCAAAAAGAATGGCAAAATAAATTACCACGTATCCAAATGTCTGGAACTGGGCCAGAAAGAATACGTAGTTTTTCAGCGGTACCACTGCGATCCTGTTCAGGACTCGGTTTGCCACGCCGAGAGCCATGAGGAGAGCAAAGCTGGCCTGCCAGCAGAACAGCACGCAGTCAACCATAGCTGGAGAACTGAGCTGTGAACAGTTGGATGAAACATATATTCATTGGATATAAATGGTCCTGTCATCATCTCCAAAGTGCAAAGGCACTGTTTTCTCCTGTGAGGGCAAACACAACAACGACGGCACAGTAAAGAAAGTGCCCCCAGCGCACAACAGAAACAGATTTGATTGTCAAACACTATCCCGCCTTACACCTTTCCGATCTCCTTCTTTTCGTTTTTAAACTACGAGTGCACATTGCACATCCCGGGTGCCACTCCTGTCAAAATAGACGAGATGTGGGCCTCACAGAAAAGTGCAAGGAGATGCACAGCCTTATAAATTGTTTGTATGAAAGTGAGTGGTCAAGCACGAGATCAAGAGAGATCATCTCTCAAGGAAGAGATGTTTGGCACTCAGAGTGGGTCCTCGCACATCAGCGTGTGCAACAAACTATTCCTGGGTGTGTTCCTCAGGACGTCGTTCAGGCCAACTGGTGCTGCTCCAGGACAGGAAAGCATAGCCAGGGCAAACATCCAGCAATGGCATTGTGAAGTGTGTGGCAGCCAGCAGGCCGAGGGCATAAGCAAGTGCAGCATACACAGGTCATCAGAACGTTGCAAGCATGTGTCCAAGTTGCGCACGATGTTTGCTTTTTTGCTTGCAAGGCGCTGCAGGGCAATCAGAGCCTGTGCTTCCAACACTTCAAGTTAATGCCGTGCAAGCCTCCTCTGTGAGGATCGGCAAACACAGCTGGTCTAGAACGTCACTTGCGTGCGAGAGACTGTGACAATGAATTGCAGCCCGTGTTTGCTTAGGACCAATACACAAAATCTGCCGAATGAAAATGTGTGGGTTCAGGCGTCGATTCCATCTAAAATGTTGTGGCCTTGGCCAAGAGGGCTGTCTGACTCTGCTACCAGCAGGACTGTGACGATGGGACATAGACAATACCCAGAAGGCAGGAATCCAAGGCCGTTTGGCCAAACATGCTTCAATCATGCTTGGTGCCGTTCGGACAACAATCTCGAAATGTGCCCTGCCCCGTTTAGAACCTTACCTTGCCGTTGCAAAAGCTGATGGGTAACGTACGAGGGTCTACAGTGGTGGTCCCTGTCCACCCAGATACGCGGAAGGAACCCGGCCTCAAACGGGGCCCCTGCGCTGTTGCCTCTCTTGCCTCAAAAAACAAGGACCCTCTGCTGTAGCTGACGAAGGCGCAAAGTAAGGAGGTCGTCATGCTCGACTAACGGGCATCGCGACGGACCAAGGCCCCATTCCCAACTCTTCAGCGCCGGCGGCACGAATATCACCCCGCTCAGGGGATGCATCGCGCCTTTCGACTTGCCATTCCATTGTGCGCACCGATCGCCATTCCTAGACCTTTCCTTCCCTTTCATTCTTTCCCTCCTTCCCTTCCGGCGCGCAGTTGTCGCGCACCGCGTTCGCTTCCGCCCGTGCGCCTCGCCCATCCCACCCGCAAGAGCGTGTCGCCCCAAACTATCACATCCGCTCGGCCCCCTTTGCGTTGTGTGCTCATCTTTTTGCATTGGAGGCTCCATATCATTTTTTCACAGCATGGAAAAGAGCCTTGCATACATTTGCCCAGGAGAGGGCGCCCTTTGTGCGACATGTTTCTTTCTCTCTTTGTAACATATCTTACCCCTATTCGCCTCGCAACGCCCACCCCTCGCCATCCCGCACGGCGACGCAGCCCACTTATCCCCCCCAAACGGCCCCAGGGCTACGCACCACGGCCCCCCAGTTGATGCCGCTCCCGGCGACCTCCAGCCCCTCGTCAGCGGCTGCAGCCTCCGCGACCATCCCCCTCCCCCTCCTCCGCATCCCCGATCCCCCTCCCCCCTCCCCCGCGCCCAGCCCGCCAAAACATCCGCCGCCAGAAAGCCCATCCGTCGAGCCAGGGCCGAATGCCGCCGCCACGCATGCCTTGCCGGCAGAGGCGGGCATGACAATCGGCGTCGGTCGGGATGCCAGACGCCTGGCCGTGGGAGAGGGCCTCAAGGAGAGGGGTGCCAATCCCCTAGGGGTGCCGCGGGGGGGCGCGATCGGCCCCTGCGCCCCGTGGGCGCAGCCCTGCAGCATGGCGAGGCGATGGCCGGCGCGCGGGCGGGTCCACCCCACGCGCCTCTCGGTGGAGTTGGGCAAGAAGGGCGTAAAGGATGAGTGACGATGGGTTAATCCATACGCCAACGTTGTCGCTGGGCGATTGTTCATGGGGTTATTTGCGGGGCCCGGGGTGCATGGCTGTTCGGTGTGTTCCCCAGGTTGGGAAAACCCGGTCTCCTTACGGAGCCGGTTTCCGCGGCCAGGGTCACGTCAGCGTAAAGGAGGTGATCGGATGCCTGGTGCCCCCCCTGCGAAATGATATTACTGCCTGCACCAAATCGGTGACTGTTTGCACCAAGCCACGTGCACACTTTGTCCTAACCTCAGTTTTTGGGGTTAGGTTTAGTTCAGGGTGAGTTTTAGGGTTAGGGTTAGGACAGGTTTAGGTTTAGGGTTACAGTTTAGGGTTTAGGTTAGGTTAGTTTTGACGGAGTTGGACATGATGTGCACGTTACTTGGTGCAAGCAGTCACCGTTTTCGTGCAAGCAGTCACCGATTTGATGCAGGGAGTAATTTTATGGCCCCCCCCTGCCTGCCTTGTTCATCCCGCGACGGGCCTCCAGCAGGACGTACTTGAGCCTGAGTGCAGCGGGACCTGCCCGAGACCTTCTGTATCCTCGGCGACCCAACCTTCAGGATGCCTTCCCAAAGCCCAGGCCCCATGGGGATCCACGCCAGGCGTTCTTTTGACATCCGGTCCGTGTCGTTTGCGGCAACTTGCAACCTTGTTGACAGGGTGTCGAAGGCTCTTCAGTCGTTGGTGCACCCTGGACCCCAAAAGCCAAGCCACCTGCAGTGTCAGCGAAGAACCTGCAGCATCTTCCAACAGCCCGCCCTCCTCTGGGTCAGAGGCAAGCACAGTCAGGCGCCCATCACAGGTCTCTCTACCCAACCCAAGGGATGTTACAACTCCACCACCACAGTGCGCAGTCGCCGCTGTGGCAACTTCTCCCCAAGATGAACCGCATTCACACAACAGAAGAACATGCCCACACAATCCCCCCGTTCCCACCCGCATAACTTGATCAAAACGCCCTGAAAACAGCAGTGGCAACAATCCGAAACAGGCACGCTCCATGGGCCGCCCCCTCCACTTCCAGACTCTCTGTTGGTGCGGAGCGGCGCCCATGCACAAGGTTCCACAAGCATCGTTTGGGGGGGATAGGCTAAAAACCAATTCGCTTGCTGGGCACCAGTGATCAGCCCGAGGCAGGCCCGGGTTCTCCACCTCACCAACTGCTGAACGGCGGCACTCAAGTTGTGCCACCAAACAGCGTCAACAGTGCCCCCAGTCAGGAGACAGCCTACCACACCGCACCCAGCCGCATGTCCCCCCACGCATATGAGTCTCCCCTGAGTCTCCCCACGCATATGATCCCCCTTAATGGTCAGCAATCATCCATTCCAAAATGGGCGCACAGCGGGCGTTCGCAAAACTGATGCTCGTCGGCGTTAACCAGAAAACGGCCACCGAGCAAGCCGCTCTACTAGCAGCATCCCCCAGCAGAGGCACCCAGACAAACAAGAAAATATTCACATGCCAGCGTCCGCGTGTGCAGCCCGCTTCTTGCCCAAACTCTCACCCTAACACAATTCGCGCACGAGGCGAACCTTCATGAGAAGCAAAAGGAGCACAAGCGTCAGGCACAGCCCTTCCCCACCCCTTGGCTGCGCAATCCGGCGCAATCCACCATTAGTCAGCGCTACACCAATCCCTCGTAACAATTCGACGGCCACACACCCGCCACACACAAATCCACGGCGCTGCTACAAATGCCACACACTTGCAAAGCTTTTCTCATTTACACACACCCACCCGTCGCTGGGAGCCCGGGCCCGTCACCAGCCTGCGATCACCCCACCGAAGGAAAAAATGCCACACTGTGATCGCTACTCCGTGAACATGGGCAGTCCACAGCCAGCTCCCTGCTCGCCCCACAACGGCGTTTATGCTACATTAGCGCCCACTCAGTGCGGCTCGATCTTCCCACATCAGACCTCCCGCCCCAGACGAACCAGACACTACCCAAAGCCCCAAATCCAGAAGCCACGAACAACGTGGGCCCAAATTTCAGAGCGAGAATTCCCCCGTCTCGACACCCCCAGTCTCAGGTCTTCAGACAGCCTCCACGATCTGCGCGAACCTGGACACTGCCTTGCACAGGTCTTTGTCGCTCTCCTGCAGCTGCTTCAGGCTTGGCGACCTCTTCAGCAATGTGCCGCTGGGCACATAAAGGGAGCCCTGGATCATGGGCGGGTCTTCCTCTTCGCTTGGCGGCACGTACAGTGAGCCCTGGATCATGATGGGCCACTGCTGTGCCGCCGACGGGTCTGGCACCCAGTAGGAGCCTTGGATCATCATCGGCGGTCCAGTGAACCCCTGGGCTGCATTGGCGTACCTGAGTTGGAAAAGCAGCAGCAGTTCACAAATTGTGAAATCTCAACAACGGAAGATAATTGAGAGCCAGGCCAACAGGAAGATGAACAAATCGTGCAGTATGGGCAGCATGGGCAGTCCCCATGAGCTTGCACAAATGAACCTCTCAGAAAACTCAAGACTTTAGACTTGAGCGTCTTTGGGTGCTCCGGAAACAGCCCACACCTACGGAGTGGGAAGATGCACAGTGGGCAAGAAGTGTTGTTGTGCCTTTTCAATACTGAGGACGTGCCGCACAACATGGCAGCTACACAGCAGCACCACTCAATGGCGTGCAGCAATGGTCTATTTGGTAAGGAACTTCTGTAAGGATGAAGATCATGCCGAAATCTGTTCTCCACTGCGACAGCATCTGCATTTGCTTTGCCAGATAGTTTGATGCTCTCCACAGGTGGGAGTGGGGAGGGGGCACACACCTGCGATCCTCGTCCTCGTATTCATGGGGCACATCCCAGGTGGACAAGAACACCTCCAGCACCTCCCTGGCCTGTGGACGTTCCTCCGGATCAAAGGAGAGGCACTTCTGCAGGGCAGAGGCCAGTGGTGCAGGCAAGCCTCGAGGCACACGTGGCACCCGATGCTCGTCCTTCACCTGACAGCAACAAGCACAGCATCAGGAAGATGAGACCCAAAAAGAATAAGCAATGCGTTCTGCAGCCCACCACAATCAGCAGTCTGAAATGAACACGTTATGCGCTTTGGCATTCGTGGAGACTGCAATCAGGACATTTTGCAAGCGACCATAAGCTGGCCATCACTCACAGCTGCACACAGGTGGTGATGGTCACCTTGCAACACCTGTCGAAGGCTTTACATTATCAAGAGACTGGGAGAATGAACTACAGGACTGACAATGAGACAGTACGGGCACAATACAACGGAGTGGGGTGGCAAGTCATTGATAGTCATGCCACTGCTTGCCCACAGAAACTTGCCCAATGACTTGGCAGCCAATAAATATTAATACAATTCTAGCGACCCCACAAAAACCGTTGGTTTCAAGGTGCAGGGGCAACATCTCTTCCAGCATCTTGGAAATGTGTGCCGAGCAGAACGTGACAGCATCACCCGACGTTGAACACTCGTGCGATGGCAAGGACATCTTATGTCTGGCATCTTGCTACCATTTGTGCACTGGTCAGCGCCGTTTTGTCTGCAACAGGATGGTTCTACAGAGACGATTGCCTTCATGAAGACACTCCACACACCTTGCCCGCAATAGCCTGCACCTCCAGCCCATGCCACGGCGGCATGCCCGTGTAGAGCTCGATGATGACACATGCAAGGCTCCACATATCGGTCTTGGTGGACATGCCCCCCATGTGTCTGGGGTCCCAGGCTTCGGGCGCCATGTACGAGGGCGTGCCCTTCGCAGCCGTCACCACTGACGCCCCATTCTCCCTCTCCACGAAACTCGCCATCCCAAAGTCCGCAAGCACAGCGTGGTCAAGATCGTCGATCAGCACGTTAGCAGGTTTCAGGTCCTGCATGATCACCCCCTGCTCGTGCAGCTCCGCCAATCCCTTGCACACCTACCAAAACAACACCACTGAAATTGCAACTACCTTGTACATGCCAGGCTTGTTCTTGCAATGTTTCAGCAGACTCAGCCAGAGTGTGGCTATCTCCCTTGGGCAGCTGCTGCCGCACAACTGGGGTGTGAACAGTTTTAGCCACACTACAAATAGACAATTTCCACAGTTTGGTCGATCATATTTGCTCTCTTGCTTGCATACATGTTCAGGAGTCGCTGTGATGGCATGATGCCCACGATCTTCTCACAGCTGAAATGGAGTGCTTAGCCAGAATTTGGTGAATGCAATCCAGTTATTCGTCTGTCTCCCCTGCGCACCTGCTCTCCATACTTTTGGATGTCAGCAAGAGGCATGTGACCTTGGCTCTCTCGCAACAGGTCGTGGAGACTCTTCTTGTACAGCTTCATGACCAGGCAGACCTGATCGCCCTTGCAGGCCACACCATAGAGGCGGCACACATGGTGGCAGCGGGTGGAAACGCGATGAAAGATGAGGGCCTCTGCCTTAAGGAGGTCTGCCAGGCATTCCCGGGCCAGGAATTCCTCAGATAGTAGCTTGACGGCCACCTGAACGCCAAGCAGCATTGTCGACAGTCAGTGGCCACAGCTACAACAGGATTGCTAATAACTATCTAGTACAGGTCGCTGTTCAGTGGATGAACACAGAAGGAGCCGTGTCAAACAAAATGGCACAAGCAACACATATGTAGGTGCAGGGAACCCTGTGAAAGCGTAACAGCACATACCGCAGTGGTCACTGAGACCTGCCATTGCTGACAGTGGTTGTGCGTATACGATTATGTCTTGGTCAACCTCATCAAAACATAGGCCTTGAAACCTTAGCGGTGATCATGCAACTTCCCAGCAGCCTCGAACTGCACATTTGACTGCCATCTCTACATTTTCTGACTGGAACCAAAGCCATGAAATGCGCTTATAATCTGCACAACACCAGGTCCTGACTCTCCACGTTGCCAAACACGCACAAGTGCACAGCACCATAACTGTAGGTTGTTGCTGCAGCTGTACTGATTCAATATCACAACCATGTGGAATGCTCATAGTGCTTGCAGTGATTCTGCAGGCTAAACTGTCATACTGCAGGACAACAGCATCTTGAGCTTGAACCCTTTGCAGAGTCGAGCTGGCCCATTGAACTGCATCGGAATCCGCCACACACCCCAGTCCCAGTTAGCACACCCCCATTTCACATCACCTACCAATAAACCTAAACTGCACTTCCACCTGGGAGACAGTCAGTGCAGGTCATTGCAAGGCTATAAACAGCTGACAAAACTCGCCTCCAACTGCTATCAATCCTACCTCCTCCACGTGGGTGCCGTCCCTCAGCTCCCCCAGCCAAATCTGGCCAAAAGTTCCCTCGTTGAGTTTCTTTACTAGACGCAGGTTGTCTGGTGCAATATACATTGAGTTGCCCGGACCAAACTTCTTTTGGTTCTTCGACAGATCCATGTCAGCCAACACGGCCATGACCTCCTCCTCGGAAGTCATCTTCTTGGACTCGGCACTGGCTGTTCCCATCGTGCCGAGCAGAGAAGCTGCAAAGCAACATGGCCTCCTTTTAGTGATGTGGTCATGCTCACTCTTTTTGCTGACATCTCAGTCTTCGTTCTGAAAGTCATAGAGTCCTTGGCAGATAGTGTGCCCTGAACAATGTCACCAGCCATGGCACCATCCAGGAATGCCACCTTGCTGCTTATCGTCAGCACTGGTCTGACATCAAATTCGTTAGATATTCAACTGGATGGTGCACCAACTACGTTCAGCAACAAAGTCTGCGCCTTGTACGTGACAATCCACCTTGATCGCACACATGGTACAGATAACAGAAAGGCAGGCAAACAGCTCAAAGTGACACAGCTGCCATGCTGGGGTCTTGCCACAACTGCAAGCTTCATAATACGCAAAAGAAGGACCAGACCCAGCAATGAGAATAGAACCACGACAGCCAACAATTGTGGCAGCAGTATGTGCCGAACTGGGCACAGCAAGCAATGTACAGCCTAATTGCGATGCTCCCAACAACAGCAACGATGCCTCGTGCAGCATGCATGAGCCTGTGAGTGAGTCGCCCAACACCTTCAGCCACGGCGGGTGGTTCTTACGAGCTGAACAGAATGGAAGTCAGTTGGCACATGCTGTCGAGTTCACCTGGATGCACTGACCTGCCAGTGTTGCAAAAATTGTTGGAAAAAGGTAGGAAGGCGAAGCGCCGCCGTCCTCTGAAAAGGATCGCTTGGCAGCAGTGCTGTACACCTTCCTCCAGGCCAACGTCATGCAGAACAGCATGCCATTTGGGCTGCGGGACAGAGACGCAGCCTGCGCCTGGGTACGGAAAACAGCCATGATCAGGGCCACTTCCCAGCCAGCCAGCCACTTCCAAACCACACACTGGGCTGCCTTGCTGTGTGGCTTAAAGGGCGCCACTTTCACATTTCTATGAACAAAGGCAGCACGAAAGTAGGACCATTTTAAGGACAGCCACTCCGGAACCACATCGGAACGCCGCCGCTGCATTCCCTGCCAAGAGTCGACAATCCTCCCTGCACTTGGCCGCCCTCGAGTGCAGCCGGCTCCATTTAGTGGCCCCAAATTGAGAATCGCCACACAAGCAGCTATCCTGCACTTCCC